TACGCGGCGGTCGGCGTGGTCCTCGTCTTTATCTACCAGTCGACGTTCTTTGTCGCGTGCCTCACCCTAGACCTGTTCCGCCAGCGGGAAAAGCGCATGGACGTGTTCTGCTGCATCGTCAGCACTGCCGGCCCGACTGACGGCTGCTGCCGGCGCGAGTACGACCCGGATAAGCCGGACTTGCTCCACACGGTATTCGGATCCTACGTTCCTAAAGTTATTCTGCACCCGGTGGGGAAGATTGTCGTGTTGCTGCTTACTGCGGGGTTGCTCGCGTGGGGCGCGTACGGCGCGGTGCACGTGCGCAACGACTTTAACATGGAGTGGCTGGTGCCTAAAAACGCGTACGTTTTCAAGGTGTTCGAGGTGCGCCGCGCGACGTTCCCGCGATCCGCGGGGAAAGGCGCGCTCCCCGTGTACGCATACACGCGCAACCCCGGCATCGACGGCGGCGGAATCGGCGGAAGCGGCGGAGGCGGCGGAAGCGCCCCCCTGGACTACTTCAACTACCAGGACGAGCTCGCGGCGCTCAGCTCCGCGCTGCAGGTGCGCGGAGCGGGGATTGGGTGGCGGGGAATGGGGAGAGTTAAACGGGGGGGGGGGGGGCGGGGGAAAGGGGAGGGGGCAATGGGGCGGAGGGGAGAAATGGTAGGCACAAGGGGAGAAGTGGAGGGACACGGGCAGTGAGCAGCCATTGTGGTTTCGCCCGGGTTGCCATGCCAGTGCCATTCCTCCCTGCCTGCTTTGCTTCCGCCTTTCACACTCGTTCGCCTCACTCCACCGCATCGTGTGCCTGCCTGTGACTCCTCCCCCCTTCCGCCCTACCTACCCCCTCCGCCACGTGTACTCCCCTGTCCCCTGCAGGGCGACCCGTACGTGGGCAATGCGCCGCCCGTGCAGTCGTGGTATGACTGGTACATCAAGTGGCTGTCCGCGTCCCCGCACAAGGGCCAGCTCACCCCGCAAGGCCGGTGCGTACGCTCTTTGCTGCTTCCGCTGTGTTTGTGTGTGGGTGCGCGCTTGTGCATGTGTATGTGTTGCTGCACGAGTTCCCCCTCTCGTCAAACACCATCCGACCTCCCTCTCCCCCACTGCCCCTTCTCCCACTCCGCCCCGCCAGCCCGCCCCCCCTCCCCTTCCCGACCTCCCCCTATCCTCTGTCTCAAGTCTCGACCTCCCCATCCCCCGTCTCTCTTTTCCCCCGCCAGCCCGCCCACGTCAGCGCTGTTCTACGCATGGCTGCACGAGTTCCTGGCGTCGCTCATGAGGCGGCGGTTCCAGACAGAGGTGGTGTTTGCCCTCCCCTCAGACTCTTCCCCACCATCCTTCCCCCGCCCCTTCCCCCGCCCCTTTCCCCCCCCCCCAGTCCCCCCACGTCAGCGCTGTTCTACGAGTGGCTGCACGAGTTCCTGGCGTCGCTGATGGGGCGGCGGTTCCAGACAGACGTGGTGTTTGCCCCGGGCAGCAACGGCACCGTCATCGTCTCCTCATGCATGTTCGCGCTCACCAACGCACTTGTCTACAGCCAGACGCAGGTGAGGGGAGCAGAGGGGAAGTAGGGGGGGACGGGGGAAGGGGTTGGGGGGAAGGGGGTTGGGAGTTGGGGAAGGGGGCTGGGGGTTGGGGGAAGGGGAGGGAAGAGGGGGTGCAAGAAGCGGTTCCAGACAGACGTGGTGTTTGCGCCGGGCAGCAACGGCACCGTCATCCTCTCCTCACGCATGTTCGCGCTCACCAACGCACTTGTCTACAGCCAGACGCAGGTGAGGGGAGCAGAGGGGAAGTAGGGGGTGAGGGGGGAAGGGGAGGGGGGAGGAGGTGCAGGAGTGTTTCCAGACGGACGTGGTGTTTGCTCCCAGGGAGCAACAGCAGCAACGGCACAGTCATGCTCTCCTCGCGCATGTTCGCGCTCACCAATGCTCTTGTCTACAGCCAGACACAGGTGAGCAGGGGAAATGGGAGAAGGGGCGGGGGGCTGGGGAAGGGAAAGGGGTTGGGAGTGGGATGGTTCTGGACCGACATGGTGCCTTCTCCTCCCCTTCCTCCCCTACTGAAGCTCTGTTCCCCTCTTCCCCCTCCCCTCGCCTCCCCTTGCCTCCCCTCCTTCCCCTTTCCTCCCTCCCCGCAACCCCAGGTCGATGCAATGGTTTCAATAAGGCAGACGGCAGCGGCAGCAGCGCCGTCCCTGCAGTCGTTTGCCTACTCCTACTTCTTCATCTTCTTTGAAGGCTACGCCGTGCTGCAGCACGACACCGTGCTGGCTGTCGGCATTGCGGGCGCGGTGGTGTGTGTCATCATGCTGCTCGTGCTCGCTGACCTCGCGTGCAGGTGCGCTTGCTTGCTCCCTCTTGCTCCCTTTTGCTCCCTCTTGCTTGCTTGCTCGACTGATACGATGTATCAATCGAGTTGAGAGTGGCGCTTAAAGAGGCGCGGTGGTGTGTTTCATCATGCTGCTCGTGCTCGCTGACCTCGCATGCAGGTGCGCTTGCTCTCACATGTGCAAGTGCACACATGCTCATGCCCATGCCCGTGCCCATGCACATGCACATGCACATGCACATGCACACGCAAACATTCGCTCACACTCCACATCCTCACTCACCCGGCCTTTAAGCACTTGTTTATCTGGCTTCACACCTCACTCACCGGGCTCCTCTCCGTTGCCACATTGCTCTCTTTCACCACCTCCACCCTCCTCTATCTCTCCCATTCCCGTTCCCTCACTTCTCTCCCCTTCTTCTCCTTCTCTCCCTCCTCTCTCTGCAGCATCCTGGTAGCGGCAATGGTGGCGTTCATAGGGTTGGAACTCGTGGGCTTCCTGTACTGGTCGGGCATGGGCTTCAACTCGGTCACCTCCATCACCGTGCTGCTCTCCGTCGGCATTGTCGTTGACTACTCCGCCTTCATCGCCTTCTCGTTTCTCTCCCAGGTGAGCTGCTGCGTGGTTGTGCTGCTGTGTTGCTGTGCTGCCTGTGCTGCTGCTGTGCTGTGCGATGTGAGTCTCTTGTTTGCTCTCAACGCCTCGCACTCTCGCTCCCCCCTCCCTCCAACCCCTCCTAGGTCGGTTCACGCAACGAAAGGGCACGGAAGGCCCTGGCCCATCTGGGAGTGGCGGTGTTCAACGGGGGCTTCTTCATGTTCCTAGCCGTGCTCCCCATGAGCCTGGCGCAGTCCTTTGTCTTCCAGTCCTTCTTCAAGATGTTTGCCATGATCGTCTCTCTGGGCCTCTGCCACGGCCTCTCCTGCTCCAAAACTCCTTTCCAAGTTCCAACCAACCCTCTTCCGCCCCTCCCCTCCCCGTGCCCCTCGCTCCCCCCACCGTCCACACCCCCTCTCCGCCTCACTCCCTTCCAGGTCGGATCGCGCAACGAACGTGCAGGCAAGTCCCTGGCCCACCTGGGCGTAGCAGTGTTCAACGGGGGCTTCTTCATGTTCCTAGCCGTGCTCCCCATGAGCCTGGCGCAGTCCTTTGTCTTCCAGTCCTTCTTCAAGATGTTTGCCATGATCGTCTCTCTCGGCCTCTGGCTCGGCCTCTTTGCCCTCCCGGTTATTCATCCCCGCTCCTCCCCCTTTTCCCCCCTCCCTTCTTCCCCACTCCCCCCCCCCCCAATCCCTCAGGTCGGCACGCGCAATGAAAGAGCACGCAAGGCACTAGCCCATCTCGGTGTAGCAGTGTTCAACGGGGGCTTCTTCATGTTCCTAGCCGTGCTGCCCATGAGCCTGGCGCAGTCCTTCGTCTTCCAGTCCTTCTTCAAGATGTTTGCCATGATCGTCTCTCTCGGCCTCTGGCACAGCCTCTTTGCCCTCCCGGTGATTCTTTCCGTTGTGGGTCCTCGGCCTTTTGACACGACTGTTGAGAGGTTGAAGGAGCAGGAGCGAGGAGGAGGGAAGGGGGGGGTTGAGAAGGAGGGGTTCGGAGGGTGTGGAGAGGAGGAGGGGATGGGGAAGGGAGGGGAGGAGGGGAGGATGGAGGAGGGGAGGGGGATGAGCAAGGTGGAGGAGGAGAGGTGTGACGAGGGTAGCAGTAGAGGCAGTTCCGTGGAGAATGGGAGTGACAGTGACGGGCTGGGGATGGACAGGGAGAGGAATGGGAGTGGCAGCACGAGTGTGAGTGGTGGAGGGAGCGGCAGTGATGGGAGCGGCAGTGATGGGAGCGGCAGTGATGGGAGCGGCAGTGATGGGAGCGGCAGTGATGGGAGCAGTGATGGCAGTGTTGAGAGTAGCACGGAACTGCATGCTCCTGCGCCTCAGCAGTTTCACGTTTAAGGCACCTCCGAATTCTCACAGGGGAGGGAGTGGGTGTGATGTGATGGGATGGGAGCAGTGAGGGAAGGCAGTGTGGAGTGGAGTGCAGCACGAATCCGCAGGCTCCTGCACCCCAGCAGTGTGTGAGAGTGGATTGGAGCAGATGCACACATGCGTGGGACTTGGGAGGTGTTAAACTTGTGTGTTGGCGAGGTGATGGTTTGTGGCTTGTGCACACATGCGTGTGTGTGTGTGAAGTGAGTGAGTGTGCATGAAGCCAGGTGTATAATCACATTCTGGTTCGTCGGTACCTGCGCTTGGTGCCCCAGAATGTGATTATGCAGTCAGTTTACTGTAGGTGGCCATTTTTTTATGTACCGTACTTTTCTTATCTCTTGACACTTCTCAATGTGTTCGGATTCTGTTTATTTCAATAGCTAATATGAGCAGTTTGAATTGGATGTTAGACAACAAACAGGTCCAGTACGGTACTTGACTAGTCAGCAGTATACACCTTATCGACGCAGCACGCTCGTAATTAGAGGCTTCACTCACTGCCTTTCATGCGATGTGATGCACCAGATGTGATGTGATGTGATGTGATGTGATGTGATGTGATGTGATGTGATAACAGCTTGGCAACCAGGTGTGATGGCAACTTGGCAACTTGGCTTGGCAACCGTTTCTGGCCGATGGACAACATGGCCTTTCACCTGTTGACTCAACTGTCATGTCATGTGCAAAGCACACGACGAGTTTTAATCTCCCTGCCATTCCTGCACCAGGTGCAACAGCAACCGCTTCTGCCCGATTCTGAAGCGCAATGCAAGCTCGTACGCTGCTGCTGACAGCCCACCCCGGCTGCTGCTGCTGTCGCTGTTGTCACTGCTGTTGCTGCTATTGCTGCTGTCGCTGCTGTTGCTGCCGCTACTGGTGCCAGTGTCACTGTCACTGCTGGGCTCTTTGCTGCTGACGCCACTATCAGAACCATCCTTCCACTCGCACACCCTATCCCCACCTCCTGCCCCGTCACCCGTTCGCTCGCAACCACCCTGCTTTCCCCTGTCACCACCACCACCAGCACCACCTACGTTCGCTTCCCCTGTATTCCCCGTTTCCCCTGCAGCAGCAGCGAGCTCTCCTGTAACATCAGCAATGTTACCAGCGACTTGAGCCAGCAGCGCAAGATCCTCCTGCAGTGTGGTGGGCAGTGCGTGCAGCATCTCCCTGCATCGCTCCACTAGAGCAATCTGTGCTAGGAACACAGCCGCCGCTGCTGATCCTGGTGATGGGCCTAGTGCTGCCTCCTCTGCTGCTGTGCAACCCCATGCACTGCTGCCCCTGTGCTGCGCTACACCACCAGCAGCAGCAGTATCGGCACCAGCAGCATTGGCACCCCCACCACTCTCCTTTCCAGCTGCACCCCCTTCCGCACCCCCACCTCCCATAAGCAGCCTCCGCACCTCGCGAATCACAGCAGCAAACGCCGTGAGCGCGCGCCTACTGCCCTTCCACCTTTGCCCCACCGTGACCGCCTCTGGAGCATCAAAGATGGCCGTAGAGTCCCGCCCATCAGCAGGCAGGGAGAAGCCGAGCGTCAGCGGGGCAGGTAAGGGCGCCGTGGCAGCCCACTTCCTGCTGTCGCTGCTTTCCTGTGGGTCCTGTGGGTCCTGTGGGGTGTCTTGATTGTCGTTGCTGCTGCTGCTGCTGCCGTGGTTGTGTTGCTCGTATGCGCCTTCCACCTCTGCTGCGGCCGCCACTGCCAGTCGCAGCATGGCGTCTTCAAACGCCTTGGGAATGGGCATGCATGCACCAGAACCACCTTTAGCACCAGCATCCGCATCAGCAGCAGCAGCCGCAGCAGCACCATCAGCAGCAGAACTGTCATCTGCAACATAACGGGTCAAAACAAAATCCGGCAACCTGCCCTCCCTTTGCAGGAACCCCAGCAGCCACGCCACCGCATGCCGCAGCCCCTGGAACAGCGTCACCGTGTCATGCGGGTTCGGCTCAGGCAGAAACGCCTGGAACACACAGAACGCCTCGTTAGGCCCGTTCCAGTACGTCTCAAAGACGGGCTGGCCCTTGGTAACGGGGCGCAGGGAGATGAGGACGGCTCGGTCGGAGTAGACGCCCTCCACCCAGTCGACGTCCCCATCGTCCCACTCGTCCCGGAAGCGATGGTTCGCCATGTCTCCAAAGGGCAGAAACATGCTGATGGTGCCGCGGGGGTCGCTGAAAAGAGGGAAGGGAGGGAGAGTTGTGGGGCGCAGAAGGGAGAATAAGGGTGAGCGTGACTGTGTTGACTGTGCGACTGATGGCCTGGGAAGAGGCACTGGGAAGTGACCGTTCGCAATGTCTCCGAATGGAAGGAACATGCTGATGGTGCCGCGGGGGTCGCTGGGGGGTTGGGCAAGGAGAGAAAATAAGGGTGAGGTGTGACTGTGTAGACGGTGGGACTGATGGTCCGGGGAAAGGCACCAGGAATCAGTGGTGGTTCGTCATGTCTCTGAAGGGAATTAACTCAGGAACATGCTGATGGTGCTCCCAGGGTCGCTGGAGGATGAAGGAGGGAAGGGCGGAAGGGAGAAGTGCAGGGTGGTAGGAGAATCCCCGGGTGAGAAATGTGACAAAAAGACCCAGTGGCTTTACCTGGGCATCCTAGTGTGCCTTACCTGGGCGGTAAATTCAGGGAGAAGTGTCTGGTGAGGTACATGGCAAAGGCCCATAGAAACTCGCCGTAGGTTGCCCCACCCAGCACGGCCCTGTCGCTCCTCTCATACGCGTCCCGCATGTACGCCTCCAGCACTGCTCCCCGCACCACTGCACTCGGCAGCTGCAGCTCCCATATCCCCGCTGCCGCTGCTGCCGCCACTGCCTCTGTGCTGCCACTTGCGCTGCTGCTGCTGGTGGTGCTGCTGCTGTCAGTGATGGTGGTGGTGGTGGTGCGGTGTTGCGGCAAGGGCAGCCAGGGCAGGGGGATGTAGGAGGGTAGGATGGCTGTGAAAGGCGCCCACTCGGACTTGTTACCCTGGTGGGGCGGGCAAGGCAAGGGGAGAAGAGTTGGGGGGGGAATGGGGGAGGATGAGGGGGAAATGAGGGGAGATTTCAGGAGACTGAGGGCGATGAGAAGGAATACTCTTGAGTCGACTCAAATAGAGACTCAAAAAGAGGGACTACTGGAAAGACTTGAGACTGAGGGAATGGGCAGGGAGGAAACGGAGACCAATGATGAGGTGTAACTATGTAACAAGGATGAGGTGAACCACCCTCAACGCACCTTCTTCATCTCGCGCAGCAGTTTTGCCATGAGCACCATGTGCATGCCGCACTCCTTAAACGGCTCCGGGTCGCTCTCTTCTGCGACTATGGCGGCTTCAAACGGCACGGACACCACCTCCTCCCCCGCCGCGATGTCCGCGGAAGCCGCCATCCCGCGCTCCCCGCCTTGCGCGCGGCTGATGCGCAGCTTGGCGCGCTGCGGAAGCACCTGGGGGAAGGATCCCGGGGGAAGGAGAGAGGAGGAAGAGGGGGGGGGAGCGGGGCGGGGGGTGGGTGGGAGGGATGGGGAGAAAAGAGGAAGTGTGGAACGGGGAAGAGTGGGACGGGGCGAAGAGTCGACGTGAAAAACGTAACGGAAGTAGAAGGAACGTCATGTCAAATGGGGAATGGGGTCCGTTGAGGATGGGAAGGGAGATGACCGTTGGGAACGCGCACCTCTTTGCCGCCCAGCCCGTGCAGCCATTCCAGGAAGCGCATCTCCGCGCTCGTCTCGTCCTGCGCTTCGCACACGCGACCGGCCGCGGACAGCGCGAGAAGAATCACGCAGAGCGCGTGGACGGGCAACGGGAAGCGGTGGCCGAACGAAGGCGATCGATCGGAGGAGGAGGAGGAGGGGGGAGATCTGGAGACTAGTGACGGACCGTATGAGGGATCGGAGGAGGCTCGGCCGCTTGAACAAGCTGTCTTCCTGTCCCTTCCTGAAGGCACGGGTTTCAAATGCCGGGGAGTAATGGCAGCCATTATGGCTGGATATCCGTGCTTATGGTGCAGGATGATATTCTCTGCGACGGTGTTCGATGCGGTGATAACTCCCGGCTTTTGGCTCGAAATGGCATAAGAGCACGCAGCCTAAGGCGTTGATTTTGTCAAGGTTCTGCTGCTATGGCTATGGCTGTCGTCGACGTCGGCGATGACTGCCGCGATGAGCGGCAGAATGACGAGCAGATCAGATCCTTCCTATCCTAGCGGCGAGGGATCTAGGCTGGGATAATTTCAGCCGCTGCGGCAGTGCTGCGGGCGACAAAGGAGAATTCTAAGATGGAAAGGTTTTGCCCCTGAGTCTGCCCTGAATGCACCTGTCCCAGTAACTAGACGGAAACCTGAGATCAACGAGTCTTTCTCATTCCGAACCGTTGATTTTCCGGGTTTTACCTACCGCATGCAGATCTTGCTAGTGCAGCTTTGCAAACGCATGCAATAGACGGTTCAGGGGAAAATGGTCGGCTTGCCGGCAAAAACATGCGGTTACCCGTGTTTAGGGTTGAGGCTCCCTCAATCGCATGCCATCCAGATGGGGTTTATTTTTTTCTGACCGCGGGCAGATAACAGTCCGTCAGCCTCTTTCCCCTGCGGCCGTCTTTTGTATGCGTCTGCATAATTGCGCTGGCATAAGTTGAATGCCGTTAAAAATGGCCCGTTGATTTTGCGTCCTGATCAGCGTGTCAGCAAACCATCCACCAATGAACGTCGCCTTCGTATATTGTGTCAGGAGTGCCAGGTGCCATTTGTGGCTTATAACCTGAACATTGCGTTTTGTGGACGTGGTGGTTGTGTAGAAGCATCCTTATTAATTTCTGGCCATTCAAATTGCAGTGATCAAAGATGTCCACTGTAATATGACATTCTTCTGTTCCTTACGCGCAAAAATTAAGTTATTCCTTACATAAATCTCGCAAGAATACTGCTGCAATAAAAACCATATAATTTTCGCATATACTGATGAAGTAACGGATTGTCAATTCGTTTTCTCATCCAGCTGGAAACACGTGTTGAAGTACAGGACTATAACCACCGGCCAAGCATCCATAAGGAGGATGTCACGTTGACCACGGCGCTCCATGCACCGTGCCTCACCTTTCCTACCTGTTCATCCCGATATTTTCTCTCTCCTACTCGCGTTCTGTCTGTTTCTCTCCTCCATTTTACCGTTGTGCGAATTCACCATTGAACTCTAGAACCAACGCAAGTTCAGCTCAACAGCGCGGGGTACTGTTGTTATTGGTCCACTGACTCTCCTAACTCTGCTGCTTAGCTGTCCTAATCTGATACTTTCGCAAGTACTGATTCCGTTGGTCACCCATTAGTTGTTACAAGCAAATAATCCTCATTTTTTTTTTGGATTCGTTCGGTCGCTCCTTCGCGAGCGGGATGGATGGCGCTGGTGGTGGTGGCGACGCGGGTGGCGGCGTCGACGGGAGCGTGGACGAGAATGTGTTCCGCTTTAAGGTGGCCGCGTTTTTCACGGTCATCGTCGTGTCGCTGGTCGGGGGATTCCTACCGCTGCGAATCAACATGGGAAATGACCAGACGCGGGTTAGTAATGGCTCGTGGATTGCGGTCCGGATTGGCGCCATTAGTAGTATTCTGTTGTTCGTCAGTGGTATTCTGTGCGTACGCGCGTTAGTAATAGACCAAGACCACGTCCTGACAATAAAGCTCTTATTTATCGATTTAACACTTCACTCAACCTTTTTTGCTCATGAGACCCCCTATGCTTCCATTCATTCCCTCAATCCCTCCTCCCTCCAGAAAGGATTCATAGACCACATGCGCTTCCTAACCGCCGGCGTGTTTCTCGGCGTGGGCCTGCTGCACATGCTCCCAGACGCCGTAGAAGGCTACCAAGCCCTAGACTGGACGCCGCCCTCAGCCTTCAATATAGTCACATACGCCTGGCGAGATCACCTTCGCCACAGTCACGGCAACCATCCACTCCTAACCTCCGGGAATCCCGCTGCAGCAGACGACTGCGATCCGTTCCCCATCCCGTACCTCCTATGCGCGCTAGGGTTCATCCTAGTGTGGTACGCGGAGCAGCGCTTCTCCTCCTCCGCCGCCCCCTCCCCCTCCCCCCAGGAGATCCAGAAAATGATGGCGGTGGCAGCAGGGGCGGAGTCACTCGGGGGAGGCAGTATCTGCTACGTGCAGGTGCAACCAGTGGCATCATACGGGCCTGTGCAGTGCCCGTCGCCGACTAGAATGCATGGAGCTGCGTCTGCTTCCTCTTCCTCCCCGCTCGGCCCCTCGGGATTGTCATCTTCGTTTGCTGCTGGTTACGCCGCTGGTTCTGTGTCTCCGTATGCGTCTCCTTCTCCCAGTCGGTTCGTGCTGCCGCCTCCTGCGTCCCCTGCTGCTGCGCCTGATGCCCTAGGACCTGTCTCCTCGCATGCGCCCTCGCATGCGCCCTCTCATGTGCACTCGCACCTGCCGTCACATGTGTCTGCCTCGCCGCAGTTAGGGTTGAGGGAGGCGCTGCTGCTGGGAAGGGAGATGGAAATGGAGAGGGAGAGGGGGAGGGAGCGAGAGGGGGAGAAGCAGAAAGGAGAAGGGATGTGTGGGGCGGTGTTGGGAGGGCGTGGGCATAGAGGAGAGTGTGGAAACCAGGGCCATGGCGACGGGCATGGGCATGAGCACGGGCATAGTCATGGGCACGGGCATGGGCATGGACATGGGGAGGGGAGTGAGCATGACAGTCAAGACGAGCACATGCACATGCATGCGCATGAGCACGGACCCCATGACCATGAGCATGCGCATGACCATGAGCATGATGAGGAGGACGGGTTACTGGCACATGCGCATTCACACGCACACTCACATACGCATGATCACACGCATGCGCGCGCTTCTAAACCCGAGCATGGTCCGCAGCATCCGCAGGTGCATGTGCTGCATGAGGAGCCTGGGGACTGCTGCCATTCCCAAGGCCATGGGGAGAGGGTGTGCCATCATACGGACCAGCAACAGCTGGGGCAGGGGCGGGAGAAGCAGAAGAGGAAGAGTCACGGGCACGATCAGGACGTGCATGCTGCTGATCACAGGCACAAGCAAGGCAGCAGCAGTAGTAGTAGTAGCCACGGCCATCCCCAGGGGCCGCATGCCCGTCCCGCGCACCACCACGTGCACGAGTGGCAAGACGAGGTGGGCGTGCGGTGGAGAGGGGTGCAGGGCGGCACAGAGGACGACGCGTGTGCGGGTCTGCACCGGCACACGCACGCCACACATCACCACCACATAGTGCTGCCCTCCAGGGGCGGGCTTTCGTACCTGCTCACTGCTCTTCTCTCCCTGCACTCGTTTGTCGTGGGCGCGGCACTGGGCACGTCGGGGACGCTGCAGGGGACAGTGGGGCTCATCATTGCGCTCATTGCTCATAAGTGGGCCGAGGCCTTTGCCGTTGGCGTACAGGTTGGTTCCTGATCCCCCTCGTTGTTCTTTCAAGAGCATTTTAAGTAGCTCTTGTTGTTCATGCTTTCGAGATGCTTGCCAACTCCCTTTAGGGTCCTCTCATCCGCTTCCCCATCCTCTTCCCCTCCCCCATCCCCTTCCCCTCGGGCTCCAGTTTGTGGGGGAGAGTGTGCCGGTGCCCAAGATGGCAGCCATCCTGCTATATGACGAAGTACTGTGTCATGACGCCCTCTGGCATGCTGATCAACTCCCTCATCTCACCCCTGTTTCCCCACTCCCTTCCCCTCGGGCTCCAGTTTGTGAGGGAGAGTGTGCCGGTGCCCAAGATGGCGGCCATTCTGCTGTTATACTGCGCCATGACGCCCACTGGCATTGTTGTAGGCATGCTGGCCAACTCCCTTGCGGGCCCTCGAGCCATGCTCGTTGCTGTTGTCACACAAGCGTTTGGTGCAGGTACGGGCAGGGATGTCAGTGTGGGTTGGCTTGGCTTTACGGCTTGACGTTATGGGATTACAATACAATGCAAATTTCCATTCCAAAGAGCCCCGTTCTTGCTGCCCTTTGCTGATTCTTGCCTGGGATCCCTCCCATTTTGTTCCCCTTACTTTCATCCTTGCTCCTTTATCACTGCCCGCTTGCTTACATCTTGGTCTACAGGCACAGTTCTATACATTGCAATGCTGGAGCTTGTGGAGAAGCACTCGGGCGCCCAAGGTTCAAGCATACTGGATCTGTTGCTGCTGCTCGCAGGGGTGGGCATCATGGCAGCAGTCGCTGCCTTTGTATAGTTTCGCAGAATCTAACACCCGGTTACATGACGATTTTGAAGTTTTTTTTCTGTGGATAAAGCTAATTCGTGTGAGTACATATATAAGTTGACACAAGACAGCAAGTGTAGACACGTTGCGAGACTAGCAGTGGCAGCATCTTGTCGATGAGAACCTTTATCCTGGCGGCTCTGCTTATATTGCAAACAATGACATTGCCGTGTCAGCTTCGGCGCTTCCCAGCGTGTCAACGCGCAATGCTTGCCGCGTGTGCGCCAGCTGCGACGAACCACCCACTCAGCCGAACTCCACCTCAACACGTTCGGATAGGAGGGGGGAAGTTGTCCCCCGCGCTGCTGGCCCCCGTGATTCGCCAACAATTTCGCGACAGCAGCTCCACCAACCCAGGTCCATTGTTTCATGTGCGAGGCTTCTAGCTGCCAATACAAAACTTCGCGAATGTTCGTTCATTCGGCAACGCGTTTTCGACTCCGCACGCGCACATTCGGTGGGGTTGCGGGGCAATTCTGGCGCTGAGGCCCACCGCATGCATGGGCGCGCATTTGGGATCTTGGATTATGCCACGGAAGATAAATAGACACGAGAAATTAGAATTCCTTACCTAGGAACCAGTCGGAGCCACATTTACCGGATTAGGGACGAGTAGCACAGCCAGCCACGCAGGTAGTGCCTAAGCGCTCTCCTGTCGCATTCCTTCCAGGCGACTCTTGAAGTCCCTGAAAGTCGCTTCAGCTGATTGACCAGCGACGTTGCGATTTTACCGGCTTCGCACGCATCCGGGGCTGTGCTCTCCCTGCGCGCGTACCCTTCCTCCTCCCCAAGCGGGGCTTTTCCGTCCAATCTAGCCAGATGCTGCGCGTGTCCGCTCCTCCCTCGCGCTCTCTCCTCGCCCCGGAGTCGCTAACTACAGCAGCGAATCTCACCGTCGTCGCGTCGCGATCTCTCACTTCCTGGCAACCCCACAGCGCAGCAACAGCACCAGCAGCAACCCAGGAGCTTTTCAGTCGTCGTCGTCTGCACCGCAGCACCGGAGCTCCTTATTTTCCTCGTTTGCCAGATCGATCGTCCGGTGCCGCAGCGACCGCGTCGCTTCGTCTAGCTCTCTCCAGTTCCTCCGTCACTCCCTCCCACACTAAGTCTTCCTCTCTGTCCTCCTCTTGCTCTTACGCGCCTCGCTTCGCCTGTACTTCCGCGGTTGATTCTCGCGCTCGCTCCGCTCCCCGCTCCGCCGCTCCCCGCACATCCGCCAGCGCCAGTACCGCGCCCTCCATGGCTACCAAGTCCGCAAGAGCCGCGGAAGCGCTGCAACGCGTTAAGGATGCCGGCCTGTTCCGCGACCAGTGCCTTATCGGGGACAGCTGGGTTGGACCTCGTGACGGCGGCCCTACTATGGACGTACTTAATCCCGCTACGGGGGACCTTATAACGCGTATCCCGAATCACGGGTACGACGAGACGCGCGAGGCCATCGACGCCGCGTCCGCGGCCTTTCCTGGTTGGTCGTCGCGCACCGCGAAGGAGCGCGCCGCGGTGCTGCGCAAGTGGTACGAGCTGATCGTCGCGAACCGCGAGGAGCTTGCGCTGCTGATGACGCTCGAGCAGGGCAAGCCGTTGGCCGAGGCGCGCGGCGAGGTCGATTACTCCGCGGGATACGTGCAGCTGTACGCTGAGGAGGCGACGCGGACCTACGGCGACATCATCCCCGCGCCGCTGGCGGACAGGCGGATTCTGGTCCAGAAGCAGCCGGTGGGGGTAGTCGCGGTAATCACCCCGTGGAATTTTCCCCTCGCGATGATCGCGCGCAAGGTCGCGCCTGCTTTAGCGGCGGGTTGCACGGTCGTCGCCAAGCCGTCGGAACTTACCCCGCTCTCCGCGTTCGCGCTCGCGGAGCTTGCGCTCAAGGCGGGCGTGCCGCACGGGGTGATTAACATCGTCGTAGGCGACGCGCCGCCCATCGGACAGGCGATTATGGAGAGTTCCGCGGTGCGGAAGCTGAGCTTCACAGGGTCTACTGCTGTAGGGCGGCGCCTCATGGCGGGCGCGGCGGCGACCGTGAAGCGTGTGTCTTTAGAACTGGGCGGCAACGCGCCGTTCATAGTCTTCGACGACGCTGACATGGCAGTCGCCGTGAAGGGGCTGCTCGCGGCGAAATTCCGCAACGCGGGGCAGACGTGCGTGTGCGCGAATCGCGTGCTGGTCCAGGAAGGAATCTACGACGAATTCGTATCCGCGGTCAAAACAGCCATGGAGCAGCAGTTAACCGTTGGATTCGGGCTCGAGGACGGGGTGACTCAAGGCCCGTTGATCAACGAAGCAGCTGTGGAGAAGGTTCAGAGCCACGTAGACGACGCGGTGAGCAGAGGCGGCACGGTGCTGCTAGGAGGCTCCAAAGCCCACCCGTCCTTCCTCTCCGCCCCAGCCGGCGAGCTTCCCGAGAAGCTTCCCGGGTGCTTCTTCCAGCCGACGCTAATCATCGACTTGCCGTCCGACTGCCTGTGCTTTCAGGAGGAGACATTCGGCCCGCTAGCCGCTGTCCACAAATTCTCCTCTGAAGCTGATGCGCTGCGCATCGCGAATGATTCCGAGTTTGGTCTAGCTGCGTATGTGTATTCGCGGGACATGGGGCGGTGCTTTAGGGTGGCGGAGGGCCTGCAGGCGGGGATTGTGGGCGTGAATGAGAGCGCGATCAGCACGGAGGTGGCGCCGTTTGGAGGGGTGAAGCAGTCGGGCATGGGGCGCGAGGGGTCAAAGTATGGGCTGCAGGACTACATGGACTTGAAGTACGTGTGCCTGGGGAATTTGAAGTGACAAGCGGGTAATTTGGAGTGAGAGGTGGTTGTGGATTGTGGCCGGGGCCGACTTGGATAGCATGAATTGCAGGCGTCCCTGCAGGACCTTGACTTGAAGCTATGTGTGCCTGGGATGGGACACTTGATTTGGGAGGTGGGTAAAGAGCGAATGTGTAGGGTGTGTGAGCGAGGTGAGGTGTGGGATTCACTGGTTTCAGAGGTGTTACCATGTTTGGCTTGCGTGAAGAGCAGGCTCTGGTGATCACTGGGATCATTGATCATGTGGTTTCGAGGTCATGCAGTGGTGGAAGGCATGACGGACATGTGCTGGTGCGGTGGTGCAAGCAGCTATGGGATGTATACTTGGATTACTGCTGTGGGATTTGTGTTTGCCTCACTCTCGTGTCGTTTGTTCCATGACTCTGAAGCTTTTCGTTGCTGTAGGGGTAGTTGCTGGTGGTACCTCCAGTGTTTCTCCACCTGTCGCTGAATCCAATCGACTGGGCAACAATGGGATGTCCCACAGGCTACTATAGCAACTATCCAGGCAAAACCAGAAAGTGGTACACAAGAAAAATTCCCCTGTAATCGCTAAAACAAGTACGGTACTAAAGAAAGGAAAGTGGGCATACGCAGCAACCCACATACATAAAGTCATTGTAGTTAGGCAGCACCCCTGTACACATCAGAAACGCAGCAGCAGCACACCCTAACCTCATAGCACCCTGCATATGCCAATAACCCATCTGCAACACGCCTAGCATGCACCACATATTTATTCGCCATGCAGCAAACCAGCAAACCAAACAAGCTCCTGAGGACACTCTACCCACTGCACTTTTAAGTCAAGCCAAGCCCTTTTAAGCTCCCTAGAGCCCCTAGTCCTTGCGTAATCCCTGACTGGCACCACCCGGAGACGGGTGTGCAATGCATGGAGGGATGGACAGATGCTCACTTGCTGCCCTCTCCCTCGGGTCGCACCACAAGCACGGGCACTGGCGCGTTGTGTACACAGTAGCTGGACACGCTGCCCAGGAGTTGGCTGTCGTGGGGAGAGAGGAGGGGAAGAGGAGGGGAAGAGGAGGCGAATGGGAGGGCAGGGGGAGAAGAGATTTTTGAGAAACGAGGTGGTAACGGTGGTGAGTTGAAGCAACGAGAGAGATGAGATGCCAGTCGGTCATCCATTCATTCGTTCCCATTTATTCAGACTCATCAAGTAAGGGTGCCCACGCCCCTAAAGCCTTGTATTTCCAGCGGACCCGCCCTATACTCCTCTCAAGTCGACTCAGAAGCAACAGGCAAGAGTGTTAATTTATTATTCTTCAATTCCTTTTGACTCACCGCGTGAGGAGGCCCAGACCCCGCGAGCCCACCACCAGCAGGTCCGCGCTCAGCTCCGCCGACTGCTGACCACGAAGCTCCCTTTGCCTAGAGTCGCTCCTACCGGTACCACAAAGGCTCACTTCTCCATTTCTCTCGACTCACCGCGTGAGAAGGCCCAGCCCCCGCGAGCCCACGACCAGCAGGTCCGCGCTTAGCTGCTCCGCCTGCTCGCATATCACCATGCGCGCATCGCCTATCTCCACCCTCGTTTCCGCGGAGAACTGGCGCGGGCGGAAGGGGGAGAGGCGCGGAAAGGGAGGGAGATTCGGGATATGATTACAAGGGGAGTGGAGCGCAGCGCTTTCCTCATGATATTCGCATGACTAGGATTGACTCGGATTGTAGCAAGTTTACATCAAGTGACGATACGGGCGCGCACCTGCTGGATCTCTCATATAGTTGCTACATAAAGAGCACCCTTTTTGAGGCGCATCAACTTGAGGAGCGGAGCGCACCTTATGGGCCGCGCAAATCTCCTGGCATTTCTGCAGCGTTCTGCGGCTGAGGTTGCTGATGTGCGTGCGAATGGACTCCACCGTCTCCGGGTCCAGCGGGACTGCGCGAGGGGGGGGGGACAACCGTGCGAGAGCACAACAGAAAGAGTCACTTGTGAGAGTAAGAGCACACGAGAGCGAACAGCGCTGCGGCTGAGGTTGCTGATGTGCGTGCGAATGGACTCCACCGTTTCCGGGTCCAGCGGGACTGCGCGAGGGGGACAACTGGGAAACGCGGAAGGGTGAACCACGGGACACCGAGGGAAGGAAGGAACACCTATCAGAGCAAGATTACATTACGAGAGCTGCGGAATTCTACGGTTGAGCAGGCTCACCGTCTTTAGCGGCCATGCCCGGCACGAGGTCGGAATTTGACTGCAAGTGAATCGGTTACATCCATTGGCATCCATAATAATCGCTCACCGTCCTTGGCCACCATGCCCTGCACGAGGTCGGGCTGCGACTGCGCGTGCAGGATGACTATGCGGTCGCCCTGCCGGAGGAGGTGCTCCGCCGCCCACCGCACGGCGTTGTAGCTGTCCTCCGACGAGTCCACGGCGAATAAAATGGTTCGCGCCATAGTTAACTTGTAGCTTGCGGTTGATAGGACGGTTTCGTCTTTCAGTCTTGCGTTTGGTTCCGTTCCTGAAAACTGGAGTTTCTCCTCACGTAAGGATAGCTAGAAGAGCTTTTAAGATGGAGTACGTTGGAGGAATTTGCTTTCTGCGAGAGATAGAAGCGTTATAGCTGCGTCATGGACCGGTGTGAAGGAAAATGCGTTGGTGAAAAGCCTGAGAACAAAATACGATTCTTGACGTGCAAGAAAACCACGATATACACGAGCAGAACTAGGGAGAAGAGGGGAGCATATGAAGGGCAAAATGAGCCCCTCGTCCATCAGTGAGGAAATGACGAACCGCCTCGGTTTCGGATTTCCGATTCCTTTGGGCAGTGGCTTTGACACCGCCTCGCTTTTCCGCTCGCGTCCGATTCCTTGGGGCAGCTGATTTCGACATTTCCAGTTTCCGGTGACCAGAAAAATTATTAAGTTTACCTGGTATTAGTCTAGTGGCCAGTGAAAAAAAATAAACCCCTTTCGGAGGGCTGGCCATTAGGGAGGCATCAACCCTAAACACCTTGCCTCATGGTGTTTAGGGTTGATGCCTCCCTGACGGCGTCCCCCCCGTGAGGGGTTTATATTTTTTGTCCCATTAAATAAAACAAAGTTGTAGTTTCTGGACTCCAAATGGGAAAATAGCGTAATTTACTGACCGAAGGTATCGGACGCGAGCGCGAAGCGAGGCGCTGTCAAAACCACTGCCCAAAGGAATCGGAAACCCGAAACCAGGGCGCTCCGTCATTCCCTCTCCATCAGTCCTCTCATGCGAAAGCAATGCGGCCACCATTTCTTGAAGCCGTGGCATGTCGCACATGCGATACATCATCCGCGTCGCGGGAATACACTTGGTCACAGATTTTGCGTGGTTAGAACTTTATTCCAGAGGCTTATTATTTATGCTTTGGTAGTAGCGAAGCTGCCCCTAGTTCTGGGCAGAGTTGAATGGTTGCACAATTGGCCAAGCCGGGCTACGTGGGTTTCTCTGCCTATGACGTGTAACCTCACACATGGCGACTGCTGCCAGGTTGTTCTTGCTGACTCAGCCCATACCTGGGTCGATTCAGGTGTCTAGCTGAAGGGGACAGGCTATATTTTGCCTCTGCGAGCAGCAAAGCTTGACTTGTTGGTTTTTGCGGGATGCTACTGCTTCCAGTACGGTACGTATTTCAGATTTCTCACTCGAGAATAGCCTGCAACTGTTTAGTAAATTGATATCAAAATCCGGAATCTTTGAATTAATCCATGAAGTTGTGCAACAATGTCAATCTGACAGTACCTACTCACCACATACACTAATTACAAGTACAAGCCATACCAATGCAATGCCAATCATTGCATATACCATCTATCAATAGCATCTCTTAGAAACTCCTTTCTCCGCCGTATCATAGACCAAGCTGGGTAGATGGTGGTGCAATGTGCTAACGACCCCATTATGAAGGAACCAAATTGCTTCCTCTCACGGAGCACGACGTGAATGCGTGTTAGCACCCGCTTCGAGTAAATCTGAATTGCAGCCAATTCTTGTGGTGTACACCTTGACTTAGCTCTTGTAAGGTCCCTAGTTGTTGTAGGCTCCGAGTCGTACACTTTATCGAGGCAGCTGAAGATGCTAGCAGTGGAAGATTGGTTCTGCCCACGGTTGGCGATTTCAATCGCTGCATAATCGGCCACCGAGTTAACGATAAAAAGTGGTCTAGAGATGTAGAAGAGATTGAATTGTGGGAAGAAGCAGCGCCAGGGACCCCGGGGATTGGCTGAGGTGAAGGGTACGAGACAGGGAGAAATAGGGAAGAGAGATAGAGTGAGAGAGAAGAGAAGAGACGAAATGGGGCAGAGGAATAGGAAGCCAACGCCTTAGAATTGCGTTGTTTGCCGAGTCGGTACTGTCTACGTTGTTGATGCAGCATTCACAAATGTATAAAATCAGATGGTTCACCCATCGTCCAATAATCCCCTCTCACCGTTTTTGCAGTCGGGATCCATTATAGAGTGATGCAGTTCCGTCATCCTCTTGGCCAGCGTACGGAAGTACATTTGCCCTGTGACATCAGAACCATCTGACACACAACCAAGGCAACCAGAAAAGAACAGGACGAGCTGGTTTATGATGCCAGATTTTTCTGCCAAGAAAAACCAGAAACAGAACAGATAGCACTCTTGCTAACGCCCCAACCCCAACCCCCCAACACCACAAAAACCCCGCAAGACAAGCACACGATGCAGTGCAAGCAAGAGCATAGGGTCAAACCTCCCATAGGGCACGCTGTCTAGCCGCACATGCCTCGTCTGCAGGTGCCTCACCGAGGAAGAAGCCTCCATCCATGAGGCACTTGACGTTGGCCCAGGGCAGCTGGTCCGCCACAATGTCGCACGCGTTGGAGACTGCCTGGCCCCCCGCCGAGCACCCCGTGAACAGCACCCGCTTCGCCGTGCGCATCCCCCACCGCAGCTGCAGGTCTGGTAAAAGGGGGAAGAGGAGGGGGAGGGAAGGGGGCGGGAGGAAGGGTCGGAGGAAGTTAGCGGAGGAAAGAGGGGAGGGAGGGGGAGAGATTGGGAGAGAGGGGCGCGGGAAGTGGGGGGAGAGGGGGCGGGGTGGGGTAGGGAGAGGGGGGATGCGGGCAGATAGCACAGACAGCTGGCGGAGGGAGCTAGTGCAGGGAGCTTGGAAGTTACCATAACTTTCATTACACTCCCACTCATACTAAATAAACCTTCGCCCTGGTGCAGTAACTTGGCCTCCTTGGGACCACAACAGCTTCCCCACAGGTCGCTTCTCCAATCAACCCAGCTCGCTCCACTCCCAACCCACCCACCCACCTACCCATCCACCCATACACCCACCCACCTTCCAGGACAGCTTGAAGGATCTTGGCTCCGTCGAGGTGCATGGAGAAGGTGCTGTTAACGCGTACAGCCCCGGCCGTGCCCGAGAAGCCGCCTCCGTCGCAGTAGAAGACGTTGACCACGTGCCAGTTGTAATACGACGGGTTCTCCGTCGCGTTGCGGCTCAGAATGCCCGTGAACGTGCTCCCATACTTTTGCAGCTGAATCGCGGTGGGGGTGGGGGGGGGGGGGGGGGGGGGGTGGGTAGGGGGAGTTTGAAACGTCTAAGGGAGTTACCTCAGAATGCCCGTGAACGTGCTTCCGTACTTTTGCAGCTGAATTGCGGATCGAGGGCAGAAAGACGGGGATGGCGGGGGGAAGGACGAGACAAGACATCGGGAAGTGGTGTACCAGGAGAGAGGCAGCGAGAGCGAGTACGGAAACACGTAACGAGCGAGCCGAAGTCGTAAAATAGTCTCACCGAGGCCTGCAATCCCGGGTCTCACAGGGGCCTGGAATCATCATCGGGTCTCACCGAGGCCTGGAATGCCGGGTCGGTGGGGTGGCGCCAGAACTTGGACGATCCGAGCACGGTCTGCGTGCGCTCCGCGCACTGCGCCACGTTATGGCACCACCCGCCGCCCTGCAGGTATATTATAAAGCTCTTGCGCCCCGTGCCGTAGCCGCGCCGAATGTAGAACCCCGGCGGGCTGATGCGCGGAGAAAGGGAGAGCGAGAGAGCGAGAGAGCGCGCGAGGGCGAGGGAGAGAAGAGGGAGTGTGGGTTTGGAATGACAGTTTTGGGCGCAAGGGATGACGAGGAACGAACGAGCTGCAATCATGAGTTGTTTCCAAAAGGCATCACTAAACTGACAAAAAATGCTCTTGCTGCATTACACCTACCTTCCGTCCAGGCAACGCGCGCCGAACCGGTTTTGTCGTAGCAGCACCCGCACGATGTGCGCGGGCTTCCGCGGCATGCCTGGCGGGACTGCTTCCGCGGGGGGAAGAGCGCCCCCCACAGCCGCAGCGAGGAGCAGCGCCGCAAGAAAGTGGCTTGAAATGAGCGCGGCGCGTGTCCTTTCTCGACGGTCGTCCATGGGAATTATCTTGAGAGGGACGACCGAGATAATTCTGTAGTTGACTCAGCAACAGCACCACCGAGAAGCACCAATTCCTAATGGGATCACAAAAAACTGATTAGAGCGTTGAGCGGGCGCTGCAATTTGTCGTAAACCACTGCCGCAGCTCTGGAGCTCGTTGTATACACCTGGTGGTCTATACTGGATTCATTGATGAAAAATCTCATACAATGGCGGTGGTGGTGTCATGCCACAATTGCTAGCGGTGGTCCAATCCAACGTGCGCAAGGGGCGGCAGTAAGAACAGCTCAACGCCTGATGCGGCGGGTTTCCTACTTCCGTTCCGGACAGTCTGCTTCAAAGCTCGCCGCCATGTTGTCGGAAGTGATTTTACCATATAAAGGAGCGTCAACGTGTGAGCATTACACTGGTCTGGACGTGTTGTGTATGTTACTCCTTGGCTACGACAGGATAAAGAGGTGTAGTATGTGTTTGTGCTAACGCCTGACAATCATGGCAGGATGGTACGGCAGGTTCTCTCAATTGCTGTGAAGTGTTGGGATTGAGGAAATGACGAACCGCCCCGGTTTCGGATTTCCGATTCCTTTGGGCAGTGGCTTTGACACCGCCTCGCTTTTCCGCTCGCGTCCGATTCCTTGGGGCAGCTGATTTCGACATTTCCAGTTTCCGGTGACCAGAAAAATTATTAAGTTTACCTGGTATTAGTCTAGTGGCCAGTGAAAAAAAAATAAACCCCTTTCGGAGGGCTGGCCATTAGGGAGGCATCAACCCTAAACACCTTGCCTCATGGTGTTTAGGGTTGATGCCTCCCTGACGGCGTCACCCCCGTGAGGGGTTTATATTTTTTGTCCCATTAAATAAAAAAAGTTGTAGTTTCCGGACCCCAAATGGGAAAATAGCGTAATTTACTGACCGAAGGTATCGGACGCGAGCGCGAAGCGAGGCGCTGTCAAAACCACTGCCCAAAGGAATCGGAAACCCGAAACCAGGGCGCTCCGTCATTCCCTCGTTGGGATTGAAGTGAAACGGGGGGGAGGAGCGGGCGGAATGTAAGAGGTGGCCAGAAAGAAAATGGGGCTCCCGCTGGGGGGCAAAGAGGGTCGCGATGCCGCATCGCAAATCAAATGGGCGGAGATCGAAATGCCATCATTGGGCGATGTGTTCCGCCACCTCGCCTCGCCACTTGCGACTCGGCTGTGGTGCACGTGCCAGGCCCACCACCCATGACCGCGCAGCGCAGCTCCCACCCACACACCGACAAAGTCAAGCGCGAGATGCGGAGAGTTTCTGAATAGCTGGTTACGCTGACATGGCATAATCGGCTCCACAAGCCACAGCTCGCTGCGAAAACGGACGGGCAGGATGCTGCACGTACCTTGCCTCTCGTACCTCGGTTATTGTATTGTGTGTTTCATGTTTCAGTAAAGACTGCTGTACAGACAAGCATAAACTTATCTATCATTCTGCAAGTTAGTTGAGTAACACCTGAACACAGCTCACCAACAGCACCTAATGCAACCACAAAAGCCTGACCTCTCTCCCCATAGTTTATTGCCACCACCGCTCACTCAAATCACCAATTCCGTCTCTTTAAGGCTTAGTACCTCCAGCCCTTTAGCTCTTGCCCCTCCGGCCTCCGTGGCAAGTGGGCTCATGCTCATCACCATTCCCCGACCATCCATATCAGCACACATCCCACCTCCACCTTTTTCTGACCCCGCCATTTGCATACCTCCATCGCCAGTCTTACCCTCCTTATCTTCACCCATCCCATGCACAACCATCAGCTCTTGCTCACTCTCCTCTTCCAACCCATCCATATCAACCCCCATATCACCCAATAAATCCGTATCCGGTCCTCCTTCCGGCAGCAGCCAAAGAAAAGCGATCGGCAGGAGGCGAAACAGATTCCGAAGCACCACGGCCAGCCAGAGCCGCTCGTAGCTATCTTTTCTCACGCCCAGCAGGTGCAGCATGAGAGCTCCTTGCCACGCCGCGCAATGCTCCCCAAACACCATGAGAGACATGCAGAAGGCAAAGAGAGTCGCCTCGATGCCCGGGGGGCAGAGGCGAGCGGCGAGCACGAGAATGGGCATGAGCTCTAGTCTTCGTACTGCATCTGAGATGGCTGTGTCTCCCAGGACAAAGAAATGGTCGGGGATGCCGAGTGTGATGTTGACGCGCGTGATTATAACGAGGTCGAGGAAGCCTGTGACAAAGAGGAGCAGCTGGGAGGGTGGGAAGGTGGTGCCAAGGGCCAGGGAAGGGGAGAGAGAATGAGAGGGAAGAGTACGATGAGTGCATTCAGCATGCGGAGGGATACAGAAACAGGCCTATGAGAATGGGATGCAGCAGCGTCGGCATGGGATGGGGCTGTAGCTTGTACCAGCGTGAAGAGCAGGAGCGAGCGGTAGGAGGCGGATTTGAAGCAGCGGTGGTAGATGAAGACGCCGATGAGCAGCCCCACGCGTCCCATAGCGAACACCACGCCCATGAAGTCCTTGCTGAACCGTGGGCCCCCCTCCGCCTTGGTGTACCAGTAGATCAGCGCTGTGGGGATGTCCGGGGATATGCCTCCCTGGATGGTGGGGGAGGGGAGAGGGGGAAGGGGGGAGGCAGAAGGTGAGACGATTTAGGAGGCGTCTAAAGATGCCCCCCCTCCTCCGCTTTGATGTACCAGTAGACGCCGATGAGCAGCCCCACGCGTCCCATGGCGAACACCACGCCCATGAAGTCCTTGCTGAACCGTGGACCCTCCTCTGCCTTGGTGTACCAGTAGATCAGCGCTGTGGGGATGTCCAGGGATATGCCTCCCTGCATAACAGGGAGGGACGGGAGGGGGAGAGAGGGGGATGGGGGGAGAGAGAGGGGGTTGGGGGGGGAGAGAGAGACGATGGTAGCGTTAGAAATGGTCCTTCTCCGCCTTGGTGTACCAGTAGATGAGCGCCGTGGGATGTCCGGGGATATGCCTCTCTGCATAACAGTGGGGGGGGATGGGGAGAGAGAGGGGGGGAAGAGGGGGGAAGAGAGACGATGGTAAGCAAATGAGCATTTGCAATGGTCCTCCTCCGCCTTGGTGTACCAGCAGATGAGTGCTGCCATGTCAAGGTTACAGAAGATGAACTGCGTGAGGGGGTACGGATAAAGCTAACCTAACCTAACCCATCCCTCGTGCACTATCTGACGCCCTCTCACTGGCACACGCTGACACACCCCTCCCTCAGGTGTACCTCCCTCAACCACACCTCCCCCGCACGTGCCCATGTCTCACATGCGACATGAAGAGGAATATGGCGGCCCGCCACATGACCCTGTTGCGCAGCGTGCGCACAAACAGCCGCACAGACCGCTTCAAGCTCCCCCACCCACTCTCCCTCATCTTACGCGCCGCCACCGGCGCTTCCGGCACCAGCAGCACCGTCACCAGCAGCGCAAACGGTGCCAGCGCGTAGAAAAAAAACGCCCCGCGTGCCCCAAACGCAGAGACAATAGGGCCGCTGAGGGCAAACGCGAGGAGAGAGGAGAGCGCGAGGATACCCCAGGGGAGGGCTTGTAGGTCTCCCGCGTGTTGCGGCTTGGTGCGGATCTTTGCTGCGACTAGCCCGTCTACGAGGACGTCTGCAAAGGCGGTGGAGAGGGTGGTGCCTGCTAGGAGGAGGGAGGCGAGGGTGGGGGGGAGCGCGGGGAGGAGAGCCACGAGAAGGCTGCAGAGGAGGCCGAGGAGGGCTGAGAGGAAGAGGTAGGGGCGCTGGCGGTAGCTGGAAGGGGGGGAGGGGAGGGGAGAGGAGAGAGAGTGGGGAGGGAGAGGCAGAAGTGGGGCAGAGAGGGAGAGGGGGTAGAGGGGAGGAATTAATTTCTGTGTGTAGGGGTGCTGACGTGTTGCTGGGGGAAAGAGAAGGGGAGAGAGAGGGGGGAGAGGGAAAGGGGAAGATAGTGGAGCTAGCTGGTAGATGGGTAAGGGACAGTGGGAGAGAGAAAAGGGCGAGGCGAGAGGGGAGAAGCGAAAGTGAAGACGGCTCAGCCATTCCCACTCCACGCCTTACATCTCATGACCTCACACCTCGTTCCCCATGCCCCATGCCCCACGCCCCGTGCCCCATGCCCCATGCCCCACGCCCCGTGCCCCATGCCACCTGCCCCCTGCCCCCTTGCATCTCCACTCACCCGCGGATGGGGAAGGAGTCAGAGATGAGTCCGTAAATGGGGCGGAGATCCCAAGGCACCGCCACCACTGCCTAGTGGGATGGAGGAGCAACGGGCGGGAGGGAACGGTGGGGGAAAGAGGGAGAATTGACGGGGAAGGGGGTTTCGGGGCAGAATCGACGGGGGAGGAAGGTGGGAGGGAGGGGAGGGGGAGATGTTTTGGGGAGAGGCACTGACACAATTACCACATGGTCACAGCACCAGCATCGTCACCGCCACAGCCACACCATGTAGGCCTGCGCGGAAGCGGGCTGCAGGCGCTGCACGTCCATCCAATAGTACTGCGACGCCAAGTGGTAGAGCGCGCCCGCGTACCCCTCGCTCACAGACGCTTGGTAACACACACACACACACACACAAACACACTTCATCACAGCACAGCACCAACACAGCAACAGCAACGACACAGCGCCGCAGCACCCGCAGAGCCACAGACAGCAGCACCACACAGTCACAGAACACACAAACACACAAACACACAGAAAGACAGACAGGTCCATATACACGCCATCACCGCCACACCCACACCATGTAAGCCTGCGCGGAAGCGGGCTGCAGGCGCTGCACGTCCATCCAGTAGTACTGCGACGCGAAGTGGTAGAGCGCGCCCGCGTACCCCTCGCTGACCCCGTACACGACCCCCACTAGCGCCACGAACGGCAGTCCGAACGACGCCACCAGCCCGCGCAGCCACGCGTGGAGGGATAAAAGCGGGTGGAGCGGCGAGGAGAGGACGGAGAGGACGGTGAGCGACGCGAGGTTCGGAGCGGTGCGGGGAGGTGATGACGGGCGGAGGGAGACGGGCGATGCGCCATGGTGGGATGGGATTGGAGGGGACCTGGCAGGTGAGGGGGACAGCGTGTGGGAAGGGTCCGTGCTACGAGCATGCGATTCTGATAACAGCAGCATGTGAGTATGGTCACTTTGATCCATCTCCTCTCGGCCAACTTCCGACTTCTCCTCTCCGTCTCTCGCCGTGTTCTCCCCCCATTCCTCCGTACCACCCTTGCGTGTTTCCAGGCGCATTCCACTCTCCGAGTCCGTCCCTTCGCCTCTCCCAGTGTTTCCGCCTTCCCCCATCACAGCCGTCGCGGAAGCTCCTTCCGCCAGTCGGATCCCCCTCGCCACCCGCATTCTCCCTCCCGTCTCCGCCCTCCGCGTTTCCCCTTCCGCCACTCCCCCATCAGCCGCTCCCCCAGCCACGACCGGCGGCTCTACGCTTGGTCCCGTCCGCTCGATATTACCATCGAATTGCTCCGATCTGGTCATTTCAAACGACTCTTATTTGCTGACGATTGGTCTTGCAATGTCTTTCTTTTTTCCGCGGTAATGTCGAGGAAGCGGGCGATTAGACCGAGACGGAATGACGCGGGAGCATGTCGCCAGGCCCAGCGAATGTGGAGAGATGCATGCAGAAACGCGAACTGGAGATTTGACGGAATCAACGCTGTTCTATGAGATCCTCGCCATTTGTCCTGAATAGACAGAACGTGCCTCGTTCTTACGTCGCGGGATGATCATTGCATGTAATTATCTTGACCGCATTGCAAAGTCATTCTTGAATATGGAAACTTGGAAAGGTACGCATTCCGAGAACTACGGGTCGCTGGTGCTGATAAGTCGGTGGGGTTCCGCTCTGCGTACTTATCCAGGTTGAAATTCCCCAGCAGCAGGTCAACTATTCAGCCCTTAGAGCGTATCAGTTCGTTTAAAAAAGTTTGACTGCGATGTTGTGTGTTTTAAAACGGTATGGTTTCCCACCGCTTTGGACCGCAATAACAAGCCTGAACTCACTCGTGAGCTGTAAACTCACTGTTCATGACACCCCCTTATTGATGTTCCGATGTACGATACAGTACATGAGATTTCAAATGTGGTATTGACTCGCACATCCTACTACCGTACTCCACCGTGTCATCAGGCCGTGAAACTCCACTTCGCAATACTCTATGCAGCGAGAACGCCAAGCCCTAGCCCTCATGTGACGCTCGTCCCGCGTGGTCACACGATCAGCTCTCCCTGCCACGTCCGCTCGCTTGATTCACGGAAAAATAGCGTCGGCACGGCACACCCATGCGGAGTCGCCACGGATTAGAGAGGGCCGAGGGGTTTAGTAGATCTTCTGTTGTATCCACTCCCGACGGCCCGATGAAATTCCACGTCACTTACTGCCGTTGGATCTGGATCCAGCTGGACGGGAATGGTTGAAGCGAGACAGGCCACCTTACTCCTCTTGGCGTACGAGGGGCAGCCGCCACGTCATTATCATTATCCAAATGGCCCACCTCGCACTGCAGTTTCGCCAAGCTGTGCCCCTCACCATCGAGTCGAGATTTGTCTTCGTCCACTTCATTCTCACAGGCCGTCGCATTCTCTTCCATCCTACTTCTCATGTTCATATCTTCCTCTCCCGCTCGCGTTACGAAGCTACGAGATATTCGCCGAGCTGCTGAGCACACCGGCAGTCCGACTCGGGGCACACCAGCAGGTGAAGCCGTGAAGCCGACTCGGAGCACTATCGTGACTGGATCTCGCAGTCGTGGTAGAAGTTGCTCCGCGACTGGTACTGCACAAGCTCCACGCGTTCGTGTTGGTTTTCCTTGCTCTCATCGGCACGCTCGTCAATCTTTTGGTGCGTTAGGTCGATTGGTCACAGCCTACTTTCTCTGCACGTGCTGCTGTCGTTTGTCACGGTCACCAGCGTCGTGTTAATGTGAAGCGAGGCACCGATCGTCTATTGTCGTGATTGTCACCATCGGATCCTCACAAGCGTATACTCTTATTTCGACGTTTTGGACTCGAATCCCTCTCCTTTTTGCCGCTGTGCCAGCACTCCAAAGCAGCCTGGATGGCGACTGCGCCAAAGTTGTTTGGAATCTCACATAGAGGATCCCAATGGGTCGCCAACATAAAGCTTGGAGGCAAAAAACTTTGTCTGGGGTGCAGAAACACTGCAGAAGAGGCCGCCAGACTGTTCGACAGGTGAGGCATTTGTAATGTTTTCCGACTGCATAAGCAGGTGAGGCAATACTGCTTTTGGCAGCTCTTTATTGTACCTGCATTACCTACACTGCCATGCGCACCGACCGATTCCCAACTCTGTACGAAGCTCTTTTTTCCTTGTATGCAGGGCGGCATACAAGTTGAGGGGGCCCGAAGCTCAGTTGAACTTCAACCTCACAGATGAGCAGAAAGCTGAGCTCGACGCCAAGTCGGAGCTTCAGTTCCGGGCCTCCCTTGCCAAAGAGAACCTCCTGCTCAAGTTGGGCCGCGGGTCGTCGCGGTTCATAGGCGTGAGCTGGAACAAGGAAAATCAGAAATGGCAAGCACGGATACAGAAAGGTGGGGTGTGTCTGTACTATGCAAGTTTTCTCACGGAAGAAGAGGCAGCCCAAGCGTATGACGCAGCTGTGATTGAAAGGTATGGGCCTGATGCCACAACTAACGCCAAACTCTTCAGCGGAGACTTCAGCAGTGTGGTTCCTGTGGGAAGCGCCCGCCCGCAGGTGGCTCGTGCCACGGGCAGCGGGAGGGCAGAGGCGCAGGGTGGCGGTGAGGGGGCGGGTGTGGAGCGGAAGACACGTGGCGGCCGGGGCGGATCAGCCAGACGTCGCAAAGCAGGTGCGGCTAGAGTGGGTGATTGGGATGGGCCACTTTAAATTGGGGGTTTATGTAAGGTGATATTCTGTCTTTGAATGCCCTCAGGTACATCCTTTTGGCTCGTAATTTGAATCAGCCCCTATGCATGCTTGTTTTTACAGCAGCAACAGTACGAGGAGCACCGTGTAAGCGTCACTTCTTTCATAGCCCTGGGGGGCAATGCTCATGCTGTTTGTGCCCTCCTGATCGTGCGTTCTGTTGCTTTGCTGCAGATTCAGGTGAAGGTACTACGTCTGAAGAGGAGGAGGAGGAGGAAGCTGAGGAGGAGGATGAAACAGAGGAGGAGACGGATGAGGAAGAAGAGTACGAAGAGGACGACGAGGAGGAGGAAGATGGAGGAGACGAAGACGAGGAGGAGGAGGAGAGTGAAGGAGAGGGAGGAGAATCAGAGGAGAGGGGCAGTGATGAGGCGGAGGGGGAGGGTTGTGGGCACGCGGATGTGGAAGCGGGTGAATCTGATGACACCAAAATCCCCACGCCATGGGGACCCGTGGACCTCGAATGCATGCCTGGGTGGATGATTTCTGCTCTGGAAGATTACGAAGAGGGACAGGAGGAGGACGAGGAGGAGGAGGAGGAGGAGGAGGAGGAAGGAGAAGAGGGGGGAGGAGAGGAGGGAGGAGCAGGGGAAGCAGGAGCAGGGGAGCAGGGGGAGGCAGCTCGCACCACCAAAACCAAGGCAGAGGGTCGCAGTGGCAAGAAATCCGGATTCTCCTCCTTCCCATCACCCGCAATGCGCAGCTGCGACGACCCGGGGTACCAGCAGCGCGCCGCAGCGCGCAGGGAGAAGGCCAGGCAGGAAGCACTGGAGCGACTTGTGTTCCAGCTGGGTCTCATGGCGGAACTGGGACTCATCAAGCCTCTGACCATGTCCACGGAGCAGCTACTGGCGAATTGGGGTTTGAGCCAGGCGCATGTTGATGCGTGGGATGAGGAGATGGGGCGGAAGAGGAGGGACAGGGGCGGGGGTGCGAGTGGTGGGGCGCAAGGGGGGGTGGTGGGAGGGAGTGGTGGGGCGGTGGGTGCTGGTGAAGGTGTGGGGGGTGCTGGTGAAGGAGTGGGGGGTGCTGGGGAAGATGCAGCAGGGGAGGGGAGCAGTAACAAGCGTAAGATTGGGCAAGCGGGTATTCTGGTGGGGGAAGAGAACAGGAGCGCGCTGAAGAGGTTCCGTGACCGGGTGGAGGAGATGGTTGATATGGAATGGAACGACCCCACTGCTTTCGCCAACGGTCGTAACTACGCCGACGCTGTTAAGGACAACGAGAGGTGGGGTAACACGCCGCGTAACACGGGGTTTCGCATTGGCCGGTGCCTGGACCCGTTTGCTCCTCTGAAGCCGGGAGAGATGCTTCCAGAGCATCTGAGGACGGACCTTACCCCGGGTGATCTGAGGTGGCGCAGGGAAGAGCTGTTTGGCCTGCAGGGCTTTGACTGGGGTGCGTTTCGGGAAGAGGCTGAGGAGGAGGAGAGGAGGAAGGGCGAGGAGGAGGAGAGGAGGAAGGGTGAGGGAGAGAGGACCGAGCTAGAGGAGGTTGAGGGGGAGGAGGCTTCTGAGGGTGGTGGGGGGGGACTGGGCGTGAGTGAGAGTGAGAAGGGTGGTGGGGAGGCGGGTGCTGGTGAGGGGCCTGACTGGGCTGCTCTGAGTGCGAGGGCGAGTGCAGTGATGGCACGCGCGAGGGAGGTGGGGAAGAGGATGGAAGGAGGTGGGGGGGTGGGGGGTACTGGTGCTGGTGGCGGGCGTGGGGTGGAGGAGTGATGGGTGTGGGTTGGTATGATTGCTGGATTCACAATGTTCTTTCTGTTTTCTGAACAAGATTCTTTCTTGAGGGTGGGCGTGGTGGTATGCTGGTGGCAGCCCATGCTCGACGCTTGTAAATATTCCTCTTGTGCTTGATTCAATTTCTCTTTACACATGGATGTTTGCATCTCTTCACTTTCCTGGCCCCACTGCCAGCAAATAACTGCTTGTATTGTACAACTAGCCTCTTCATGGCATGGCACAACCTTTCTTGTTACATGTATTTTTCATACAAATTTTGTGTACAACTAGCTCCTCATATGGAGTAGGGATAGTATACGATACAAGTACTAGTCCACTATACCGGTACTTTTGACCGCTTGATGAACCCATTGCAAACGTTATCTCCCGACTCGACATCTCCTACCTCGTTTCCTAGAGGCCTTCGCCTCATGAGTTTCTGCTTCTGATCCCAAGACCCAGAAATCGCGACACGGATTGCTAGCGTCCAAACTAACAAAGATTGGTCATGAGACTCGGAGTCGCATCCTCGGTGCTAGATGTGGATCGGATGGTGGTCTCGTCCTCGATAAGAGCAACTGGATCCGACGGTTATCGAGCAGGTGACGCTGATGTCGTTGTGGATCAGCCCAAGTCAACACCCCGACACCAGCACCAATCACGTGTCATTTTCTGTTGCGTAAGCTCCATTCTTCTACACTTCATCCACCCTGTCCACTACCTTGCCGGGTCACCTTGTCCTCCCTTGTGTTGCATTCCTCCTCCTTTCGCCACTCGAGCAGATTGCACGTAGAAGAAGCAGGCAAGTCTACCGCGCAGATCTAGACCCACTCCGTTAGTTCCTAGTTTCCCCCAGAGTACGCTAATTCGGATCCCTCGTGAGGCTATCAGCTGCTTGCCGCTCCTTAGCCGATCGTCTGCTGATTTCGCATCATCAGCATCTGCGGTTTTTTGTCTTCAAAGATTCCAGCATGGACCCGCACACCTCCAGCACGGAGCCTCACACGAGCATTAATAGCCTGCCGTGCGATCTTCTCTTTACGATCCTGAGACGGTCCGTTGAACAACCCGTTTCATGCGAGTCCTACCTTAATAGCTTGTGGACCTGTCTTGAGCCGTTAGACGGAGCGGTATATCTCGCAACTCTGAAAATCAGTACGCCAATAGCAGCCCCCTTTCCTGACGCTGACGTGGCTCAGATCCGCTTCATCGAATCCATCTGCCAGCATTGGCGTCGCCTGGCGAAGCGTCAGGTGACGACGCTGCTCGTCAGAGAAGACCTCCTTGTGTCGCGCGAGGATCTTTCAGTCGCCGTCGCGTGCTTCCCGAACCTTACCCACCTGTATCTCACCGACAACAGCTTTGCGTCGCTCGACGACACTTTCCTTGATCGCCTCGCTTCGTCATGCCCGAAGCTGACGAGTTTCCATGCGGGGAGACGCGTTGCACGTCGATGGGTTTGCGAAGAAGATCTTCGTCTTGTTAGCCAGTATGGGAGGAGGGAGAGGCATCCGATAACCACAGGTGGCTTGGATTTGTTTGTCGTGAGGCTTCCTAACTTAGAGCAGCTCGCCTTATTCTGCCTCCACCAATCAACAGAACTGCCAGATTCTCTCTTTCGACTGAGACACCTACACACCCTTGTGGTGAATAACGCATCAGCCTTGCAGAATCCCGGTTTCACAGACCTTACTGCTCTCACCACCCTCTGTTTTACCTTTCCCATGAACCATCTGCACCTGTCCAGCCTCCTCCACCTCCCACGGCTCGCCCATCTTTCCACCCTCGCCCCTCACCATAATCATCAGCCGGAGGGTGCTGCAAGCGTGACACTGCCACCTTGCGTTAAGTCACTCAATTTCTTACTTTCCTGCCCTCATATAGACACCATCTTCCCTTCATCATCTCCGCTCACCGAATTAGAGGAGCTGCTGATCACCAATGGCCGTGAATTCGTGAGCCTTCCCGAACACTTTGGAGACGTGCTGCCACGCCTGCGCAAATTGACCATTCGGAATTGCCATCAGCTTATTCGCTTGCCTGAAAGCATCACTTCTCTGAGGTGGTTGGGAACCCTCATCGTCTCTCAATGTGAGAATTTTACTTTACGAGGCAGCAACTTCGGTCACTTGCCTGCCCTCAAACTGCTGGTTCTAGAAGGAGTGGGTTTCACCCGGCTCCCACCTTCCTTTTGTCATCTCACGTCTCTTGAGGCCCTTTCTTTGAATAGCAGTGTGATTCAAAAGCTGCCCGCAAATTTCTCCCACCTCACGGCTCTCAAGGCACTCTGCTTGTCAAACTTGCTGGACCTTGATGCCTTGCCAGGGGACCTTGGGGCCCTCGCGAATTTGGAGGCTCTCAAAGTGTATAATGCAATCCTATTTCAGCCATTCCCAGCTTCGTTCACCAAGCTGACTTCTCTGAAGAGCCTTGAGCTGCGTGATTGTTTTCGAGGCCAGCTTCCGAAAGCCTTGGGAGAGCTGGGCAGCCTGCAGGAGCTGAAGCTCTCTTTCCTTGCAATTGGCGTGCTTCCCGTCTCCCTGCTACGGCTTACGCGACTTCAGACCTTGGAGGTCAGATACTGTGGATCACTCTCACAAGTACCCGCGAGGCTGGATACGCTTGTGGGGCTTAAGAGGCTGGAGGTGACGTCATGTAGGCGATTGAGTGGTCCTCTTCCGGGTTTGCCACCCCTTCTTGAGACCCTCTGTTTGGGGCCCTTCAAGGAAGGTTCTTCCCATGTGGTGGACCTTTCTAATCTGCCGCAGCTGAAGGTGCTGAAGCTGAACTGTGTTGGGGTGAGATGGGGGGCTGCAGTGAACAGGAGGTTGAGGTGTCAGGAGCATCTGGAGCAGGTGAATCAGCTGGAGCTGGAACTTGGAAGAGAGGGATGGGAGCCCCCAGTTCCTATGACTTTCCGCCCTCGTCTACGCAGCTTGGTGGGTGAGCAGCTGGAGATGCTGCAGCAGCTGGAGCAGTTGGAGCAGCTGAGGCAGCTGAAGTTGCTGGAGAAGTTGGAGATGTGTCTGGGCAGCGGCGATGTAGAATTCCCAATCCCCTTGGTTTCGCTCCCTCGCCTGCGCACCTTGCTGATAGAGGCGCCGGGACTTTCCAGCCTCCCGGAAAGCATGGCAGCAGCGTTCCCAGAGCTACGGCAGCTGAGCCTTCTTTCCTGGTCGCCGGAGGAGCTCCCAGGAAGCATTATGGAGCTCCCCTCGCTGACTTCACTTGAGATTCATGCTCCTCATCTGACGTCGCTACCTGAAAGCATGCTCTCTCTGTCTCGGCTGCGCAAGCTGCAGTTGGTTCGCTGCAGGGCCTTGCAGTGTCTTCCAGAATTCCTGACCCAGCTAAAACGCCTGCAACATCTGGTACTGTATCGCACCCCCATCTCACCCGTTCCTGCTGATTTTGTGGAGCTGCTGGATGACGTGTCGTTTCTCAGCTAGTTGCCTTTCGGCTGGTACCTCAGAGGCGACTCGGAAGCCGGGTCCTTATCAGTGAAGCTCGTGCTGTGCCGAGGAACACCAGGGAAATGAGTAGGCTAAGTAGGCTGAGTAGGCTCAGTGGCCAAACGTTTTTAGGGCTTGAAGTGTGTTCTCTGATCTGCCTTGCCTTGCATCACCGTTTGATGCTTAGATTGTCAGAATTGTGCCTTCACTTCTACTCTATGCAGGGTTTTAAGTCAAACGTTTTCTAAAATAGCAAAACCATTCAGGCTACCTTGTTGAGTCTGAGCTTGTTCTACTGTTGGAATGATGCAAGTTACCCTATGGCAAATGCGGTACAATCCAAATCTGCCAGAATCATGGGGGCTGAGGGGGAGAGCAGAAAGGGAGATTTGGACGGAGCGGGGTTGTGACAAGGGCTTGGGGGATGAAAGGTGGGTGTTTGTATCTAAGTCTTATAGCTGTGCTTGGCTAACGTGAAACTGCAGGTTACTTTCTGAGGCTTCATGACAACAAACAGGGGTGGTCGTGGCTCCAATCTGTCAGAATATAATTGCATGCATTATGTTATAACTGCCTGTAGTGTAAACCTAGTGTAGTTCCAACTTTAGTTAGGTGGTGCACCTCCCTCTCTTTTGCATATTTGTACTCTCATCTTCCATAGTGAACTCCTCTTCTCCTTGCTTCAACTCCCTTGACACTCCCCTTCAACCCTAAAACCTAGTTCTTAGTTGCTCAAGCCATGGCTTCTAAGTCTAGCTATGCATAGTATTCTCAACACAATCTAGTTGCCTGCCAATTTCATCCAAGTGCTTTCGGGTGCGTGTGACGAGTCATGTGTGCGTGCGGACAGACATACCATACATGAATCGAACATGCTTGGATGATGATCCGTGCATGTGTGCCCATGTGAGTATGGTCATAACTTGAATGCAGCACTATGAGGTTTCCATTCAGATACATGCAGTCTCTTCCTTAGGACACATGCATCTGGCAGCAGATTTATGAGAAAGAGTCTGAGATGTGCGTTTTGAGATATGCCTTTAGAGACACGCACTCTTAGATATGCTTCATGTCTTGTGTAATGAGAGGTGAATGTTAGAATCTAGCAGCAGGAAAATGAGTGAACTAGCAGCATGCAGGAGTACAAGTAGTAAACCCTAATTGGGCTGTACCCCATATGGGCTACCCCACTACAGCCTAGACAATATGTAGCATATATGTTTGACACACCCCCATAGGCAAAGTGGGGAGAACAAGGGGTCAAACGACCAGTCAAGAGAAGCAAAGCAAGCTCAGGGTGGATCTCAACGTCACCACACATTCTGAGCACAAGCAAAGGGCCACAAGGCCAGTTCACATGCAGAGATATATATGCAACAATAACAGTACAGTGATGACTACCTAGCAAGAGCAGGCATGCATGTATATATATATATCACAGTACAAGCAGAGACCACAGCAAGTGTGGAAACGTAGGCACAAGGCCCAACAGGGTACAAAAGCGCTGATGATCACCAGACGGAAGTGCCTTGGTGAATATATCAGCAGTGTTGGCCCGAGTGGCCACGTGACGAAGACGAAGCTGGCCTCGCTGCTGCAACTCTCGAGCCAGGAAGTAATGCAGAGCAATGTGCTTCGTTCTGTGCTCCAGTCTGTGCTCCTCACACAAGGCAATGGCGGCCTTGTTGTCGACGTACAGCACTGGAGGAGAACGAGGCTGCTCTCCCAAGTCAGTCAGCAGGTAGGTGAGCCAGCGTAACTCCTGTGCAGCCATGGCTGTGGCGTAGATCTCAGCCTCACAACTGGAGCTGAGAACTGAAGACGAGCGTGTAGAACGCCACGAAACTGAACCAGAGCCAAGGCTGAAGGTGTAACCCTGCGACGACCGCTGAGTAGCCAGGTCGTCAACCCAAGAAGCGTCTGAGTGCCCAGTGAGGACAACTGGGCTCGTCCCTCCAAGCACTAGCCCCATGCCTGATGTGCTGCACAAGTAGCGCAGTACCCTCTTAGCAGCAGCCATGTGCTCAGGTCGGTGCCGACCAGGAGCCACGTAGCGAGCCAGAAGACCAAGAGGGTACGCGAGGTCAGGTCGAGTGCAAGTCATCAGGTACATGAGGCAGCCGACTAGCTCTGGGTAAGGACCACTCGGCTCTACGGACTCGTCTGAAGGTGGAGCTGAGAGCGAGTGACCTGTAGCCAGAGGAGTGGCCTGTGCTGAAGACCAGGTGAAGCCGAAGCGCTGAAGGACCTGCTGCACCATGTGTGACTGAGTCAGGGTGATGGTGCGGCGTGCTCTGTCCCGGGTGATCTGCAAGCCAAGGTAGCTGCGCAGCTCACCCAAGTCTGTGCACGTGTGTCTCTTCTGCAGCTCTGACTTCACGTGGGCGAGAGCCTCAGTGTCAGAAGTGGCAAAAACCAAGTCGTCGACGTACACGAGGATGTAGAACGGCGGCAGTGAAGTGTCGGTGCGCAGAAACAGCGACGGGTCAGCAGTAGAAGGCGCGAACCCAAGAGCCGCAAGCGTAGTCCTCAGTGTGTCGTGCCACTCACGTGGCGCCTGGCGGAGACCGTAGACCGGCCGCCGGAGGCTCCACTGGGTGCCAGGAGGGAACGACCCAGTGAAGCCCGGGGGGCGGCGCAGCCAGATCTCCTCGTGCAGGCTGCCCTGCAAGAAAGCAGTGCTGAAGTCAAGTGAGTGAAGCTCGTAGTCACGGTGAGCAGCAACATGCAGCAGCACCCGAAGAGTGGTCATCTTCGGGGTGGGGGAGAAGGTCTGGAAGAAGTCAACTCCCTCTCGCTGACTGAAGCCTCGAGCTACGTAACGCGCCTTGAAGACAGGCGGAGAACCCGGCGGCCGCTTCACCTTGAAAATCCACATGCCACTGACGATGTTCGCCCCAGGTGGGGGAACCTCGTCAACGTAGGTGCCTGTGGACTTCCAGGAAGCCATCTCTGCATCCATGGCTGCCTGCCACTGAGAGGAGTAGGGACCCTCTATCGCCTCTGCGTAAGAGCGCGGAGTCGGGATGTCTGGTGCATCCGGGTCTCCCTCAGGGGCAAGTAGCGAGGACACAAGATGAGGTAAAGCAGCAGCAAGACACTGGAACTCCTCCTGTCTGTCCTCAAGGACGTCCGTGCCAAGAGCAAACTCACCCCCGACGGACGGAGGACAGACAGACTCAGACTCAGCAACAAGACTGGCGGTGTAGTCTAGACGACAGGCAGCAGCAAAGTCAACAAGCTCAGCGACCAAGGCAGACGCAGCAGTAGACTCAAACGACGGGTCAGTGACAACAGTGGCTAGGAGACGCGTGACAGTAGGGTGCTCAGTACGAAACCGGTCAGACTCAGGGTCCGGAACGGCAGGCAGAGAGGACGCAGGAGGAGACGGCAGAGGAACAGGCGGCGGAGCAGAGGAAGGACAACGGACTACGAGGTGTGCGCCGGGGACAGCCGGCTGACGCGAACGAGGAACACGACGACCGGTACGACCAGGACGAACAGGCGAAACAGGACGCGACGCAGGCTCACGACGCTCAGCAGGACTACCAGTCAGCTCAGTGTAAGGAGAAGGAGCAGGCAGCGGTGAGCCAGACTGTAACAAAAGACCAGTAGAACCTGACGAAGAACAGAGGCAGACGGCGGCAGAGACGACGGAGACGGCGGAGCGAAGAACAGTCGTGTCGGCGCAGCTGCACCAGTACCAGCAGCTCCAGCAGCTCCAGTGCCTCCAGCAGCTCCAGTACCTCCAGCAGCTCCAGTACCTCCAGCAGCTCCAGAAGCTCCAGGCCCAGAGCCGACACCTCGAGTCCCAGGGTCTCCAACCTCTGTGTCTCCAGCAGCAGCACCCCCAGAACCAGCACCTCCAGTCCCAGGGTCTCCAACCTCAGGGTCGCCAGCAGTAGCACCCCCAGAACCAGCACCTCCAGCTCCAGGGTCTCCAACCTCAGTGTCTCCAGCAGCAGCACCCCCAGAGCCAGCACCTCCAGTCCCAGGGTCTCCAGCCTCAGTGTCTCCAGCACGAGCCCCTCCAGAACCAGCAACTCCAGCACCTCCAGTAGACAAAGGACCAGCACGACTCCGAGCTCCAGCAGCGCGACGCTGACGGCGACCGTACCAGTCCTGCAGCTGCTGTGGGGTGAGAGGCACACGTGGACGAAGGCGGCCACTCCAAGGAGACCGCGCAACAGCAGACTCAGAACCCTCAGCGCCCGCACCCCCAACGGCTCCAGAACCTCCGGTGTCAGTACCCTCAGCACCAGTACCTCCAGCGGCTCCAGAACCTCCAGCGCTAGCACCCTCAGCAGCTCCAGAACCTCCAGCTCCAGCGTCACCAGTACTAGGCCCTCCAGCAGCTCCCGAACCTCCAGCGCCAGCACCCTCAGTAGCTCCAGAACCTCCAGCGTCAGTACCGCCAAGCTCAGCACCCCCAGACCCCTCACACTCAGGCTCAGCACCACCAGGCTCTACACCCTCAAGCTCCGCACCCGCAGGCTCAGTACCCCCAGGCTCAGCACCCCCAGGCTCCGCACCCCTAGGCTCAGCACCCCCAGAAGTAGCACCCCGAGCAGGACCACTCTCAGTAGGACCTGAGTCACCAGTGACCTCAACCGGCGCAGTCAAGGGAGGAGGGTCTACCTGAGAAACACCTGAAGGAGCAGGACCGGGAGCGGGGAGGGGGTCTACCTGGGGAGCACCTGGAGCGAGGAAGAGCGGCGGGGGGGGGAGCGAGGCAGTGCGGTAGGGGAAGAGACGGTAAAAGGGAACCGACTCGTCGAACGTGACGTCCTGAGACGCAAAGACACGGCGCGAGGTGGGGTGGTAAAACTGCCAACCAGGCGCGTTAGGGACAAAGCCAAGGAAGACACAGGGGACAGCGCGGGCGGAGAGCTTGTCCGCGGTGGTATCGCGGACAAAGGCACGAGCACCCCAGACCCGGAAACGCGACGCATCGCCAACCTTCCCCGTCCACATCAGTGTGGGCGAGGTCTCCGGCAAGGAGACACGGGGCCAGAGGTTGAGCTGATGCGCGGCGTACCGAACCGCAAACGGCCACAGAAAATGGGGGGCAGCCGCATGGATCAGGGAGGTACGAGCGACCTCCATGACTAAGCCAATGCGGCGCTCAGCAACCCCATTCTGCTGCGGAGAGGCCGGAAGCGTGAACGACTGGGTGATGCCGTGCTCCGCACAGTAGGCTGCCAAGAGGTTGGAGGAGAACTCACCACCTCTGTCAGAGTGCAGACGCAGGACAGGAAAGTCCGACCGGAACCGCTCGCGGAGCTGGAGACGAACTGCGCGGATCCAGGGGATCAAAACAGCAGGGACATCCGCCTTGCTCCGCAAGGGGAAAACCGTGGTGTAACGCGTGTAGTCGTCGACAACCAGCAGGAAGTACCGCTCGTGGCCCTGTCCCTGGACGCGGGCTGGGCCCCACACGTCCAGGTGGAGCATCTGCAGTGGAGCCTCTGTGGGAGGAAACGAGGAGGAGTGAGGAGCGGCGCGCTGCCGCCCCTCGACGCAAGGAATGCAGGGCGGCGCAGGCGAGGGAGGGAGGGCAGGCAGAGACCTGGGGAGACCAGAGACCAGGGAGCGAGAGTGCATGCTACGCAGGCGAGGCAAGGAGGGGTGACCAAGACGGTGGTGCCACAGGAGAGTGTCGTGCGACAAAGCGCGACACTCGCAGGGGGCCGCCTGCTGACCAGACGTAGACGCAGACGCAGCTACCTGAGGGGACGCAGTGGTCAGTGTGTACAGACTCGAGCCAGGTGCACGGGTGAACGTGGCCAAGTGCCGGCCCGTCCTAGCACACGTACAGTGAGTCACTCGCTGACTCGCAGGAGTGAACTGGTGAACCCCCCCATCCTGGAGGTCAGCTCCACTCACCAAGTTCGTAGAGAACGAGGGGAGGTAAAGACCTGACAGGAAGCCAGACGGGACGGCCGGACACGGCAGAACCGTGGAGTGGTGGGCAATGACTGGACCCCCAGAGGGGTCCGCCAGGGAGACAGGGCCTGGCCGACTGAGCGGCGTGAGTGCGGTGCAGTCGCGAAAGAAGGAGCGGGAAGCTCCTGAGTCAAGGGTGAAGGTGTGCGAGACCGCAGTGGGCGCAGTACCAGAGAGAGCAGACTCACCAGCACCTGAAGCCACGGCCTCACCAGTACCTAGAGCAGTAGACGTACTAGCACCGAGAGCAGCAGCCTCACCAGCACCTAGAGCAGGAGACGCACTAGCACCTAGGGCAGCAGCCTCACCAGGGTCAGGCGGTACGCACAGGTAACAGGCACGGTCAGCACTAGTAGACAAGGCATACATGGCAGTGAGAATAGCATCATAGTCAAGCGCAAAGATATCTACCCTCTGTCCATGCAGCTCCAGCCAGGTGGGGAGCTCAGCCTCGTCGCCAAACACTGTGCGCCAGGCGTCGCTCAGACGGGCGAAGCAGCGGGACTGTGTGTGACCAAGCGTCCCACAAGGCTGACCAGTCCTAGCACCTGTGCGAATGACGTACGGGCAGCGAACTGTACGGGTAGACCTGCTACACTGAGCGTACCACTCCTGGAGCTGCCGAGGCGTAAGTGGCTCGCGTGGACGCCCCTGCAGCTGCAGCTGGCCACTGCTAGACGCTCCCAACTGACCAGCCCCAGGGCGACAGCTACGACGGCTACCGCGACAACCCCAGCTAGTATACCACTCACTAAGCTGCTGGGGCGTGAGAGGCTCGCGTGAACGTCGCTGGAGCTGCATCTGGCCACCTGCCAGTAGCAGTAGCAGCAGCAGCAGCGCGGGCAGGGCAGGCGTGGCAGGCAGGTAGGCAAGCAGGCAGGCAGGCAGGCAGGCAGGAAGGCAGGCAGGCAGACAGGCAGGCAGGCAGGCAGGCAGGCAGACAGACAGGCAGGCCGGCAGGCAGGCAGTCAGGCCGGTAGGCAGGCAGGCAGGCGCGCAGGCAGGCAGGCAGGCAGGCAGGCAGGCAGGCAGGCCGGCAGGCAGGCAGGCAGCCAGGCAGGCAGGCAGACAGGCAGGCCGTCAGGCAGGCAGGCAGTCGCTCACCAAAGGCTGGGAGAGCAGGCGCTCACCGGGCGAGCAGGGCCGGCGCTCGACAGCGGCGACGTCGGGGCCGCAACACCGGCTGCAGAGCAGGGCCGAAGCAGCTGCAGGGCGGGGCCGCTTCAGCGGCAGGTCGGGGCCGTGGCAGCTGCAGGGCGGGGCCGCATCAGCGGCAGGTCGGGGCCGTGGCAGCTGCAGGGCGGGGCCGCATCAGCGGCAGGTCGGGGCCGTGGCAGCTGCAGGGCGGGGCCGCATCAGCGGCAGGTCGGGGCCGAGGCAGAGGGCCGCGCGCGGCTCGGCGCGGGCTGCGCTGACAGCGCGCTAAGCTGATGCAGGCCGCGCGCGGCCGCGCTAGGCAGTAGCGGGCCGCGCGCGGCTCGGCGCGGGCTGTTGCGGGCCGCGCGCGGGCCGTGCGAGGCAGTAGCAGGCCGCGCGCGGCTCGGCGCGGGCTGCTGCGGGCCGCGCGCGGGCCTCGCGAGGCCGTAGCAGGCCGCGCGCGGCTCGACGCGGGCTGCGTGGGCTCGGCGCGGGCTGCGCGCGGCAGCTGCGAGCTGCGCGCGGCTCGGTGCGGGCTGCGCGCGGCTGCAGCGGGCTGCGCGCGGGTCGGTGCGGGCTGCGCGCGGCTGCAGCGGGCTCCGCGCGACTCGGTGCGGGCAGCAGTGTGCTTAACGGTCTGCAGGGGCTGTGTGCGGGCCTGACGGGCGTGTAGAGGCGGCGCGCGGGCCTTACGGGCCTCTAGGGGCAGCGCGCTGGCCTAGGGCAGCAGGAGGCAGCGCATGGGCAGCACGTCACAAGGCAAGGCAAGGCAGGCAGGTACGTGGGGTAGCGCGGTAACCGCAGCGGTAGGTGGGCCCGAAAAAAACGGTCCTACGGACCTTAGTGCTCTGAAACCATGTTAGAATCTAGCAGCAGGAAAATGAGTGAACTAGCAGCATGCAGGAGTACAAGTAGTAAACCCTAATTGGGCTGTACCCCATATGGGCTACCCCACTACAGCCTAGACAATATGTAGCATATATGTTTGACAGTGAACTCTGAGGAATGGATCTCATTCTGAGGTACACGTTTTGAGAATATGCGTCAATGATATTCATTCTGAGATTTGTGCTCAGAAAGAAGGATCTGTAGATATGCAGCCGATATATGTATTTCGAAGTATGCATTTTGAATTCCCGGTTCGGTTCGAAAATACTTTTATTGAATTTGTTGCATTCTTCCAGGTGCCGTCGCCTGCTCTCTCACCGACTCCCTTCCCACTCCAATGGCCTTCTCCCTCCTCCCTCTCTCATCTCCACTTCTCCTCTGCACTCCTCCACCTCTCCAATAGCCTTCTCCCTTCTCCCTCTCTCTTCTCCACCTCTTTCCCCTTCCCTTCCCATCCACGTACGTACTGCCTTCCACCAACATCCTCCCTAGATTATGTGTTTTCTCTCCCCCCCCTCTTCTCTCATCCCTTTCCCTCCCCTTTTGCTCCCCCCTTGCTCTTCCACACCTTTCTCTCTTCCCCCCCCCCTTTCCCTCCCTACCCCACTCCCTTCCCCTACGCTCCTCCCAGTCAGGTTGGCACCGCCTGCTCTTCCACCCACATCCTCCCCACTACAGTTGTTTCTGCCCCCCCTCACTTTCTTACATCTCCACTTCCCCCCCCCTTCTGCCTAGTGAATTCCCCCCCTCCTTTCCCCCCTACCCTTCCCCCCTACTCTTTCCCCCCTGCTCTTTCCCCCTCCGCCCCCCACTCCCTCCCCCTTCCGTCCCCCTCTACTCTTCCTTGCCGTGCCGGTATCATATTCTCCTCTGTCCTTCCCTCCCTCCACACACTCTCCTTGCACTTCCATTCTCGGTTGGCATCGCCTGCTCTTCCACCCACATCCTCCCTCCCTCCTCCGCTGCCCTTCCCCTCGCCCTTCCCCACCAGGTTCGCATCGCCTGCTCTTCCACCTCTGGGTGATAATCTCCGCCACCTCTGCAGGATTTGATCAGCAATGAGCAAGGACGAGATACCCATCAGCAGGTGGGAGATCATCTGTGTGACAGCAGGAAACAGAGCAAGGAAGAGATACACAACAGAGGCATGTCCAGCCTGGAGGCGCACTTGATTGGCCAAAGGAGCTTCTTCACCCGTCTTGAACTCTCCTGTTGCCCGGGTGAAGAAGCACAGGTGAGCAGCAAGCCTTGGGCCTCCTGCTTGCCGCTCACCTCCCCTTCCTCCCAGCTGACCTCGTCCCCTTGGTCAAGGTGAGACTCCTCTTCCTCTTCCAAGACATGCGTTTGGAGAGATGCAACCTTAGAGGTTCATTTTGAGAGATGCATTCTGAGAGGTTTGAGAAATGCATTTTGAGATACCCATCCTGAAAGATGATTAGTAAGAACTGCATTCTGAGATGCAATTTTGTATATGCGTCCAGAAAAATGTATTCAAAGATGCTTATTCTGAGATATGCAACATGAGTGTCATTCATGTGTTGGAGTTACTCACCAGTCAAAATATGCTTTGATACTAAAAGCGGATCATCATGCCTCGAGACATGGGTTGCTATGTGTCTATTCTCAAGGCATGAGCAGAAACTCATCATGCGATACACATCCAGGATGAAGTTGTTTTATACTACGAGACATTTTACGTGCCAAGAGATTTCAGCACTCTAATCATGATGTCATAGGGCATTCAGCCCTAGGTTTACCGTGCTCTTTTACATTAAGCTTACATCTATCATGCCATGAGACATCCAGCCTTCAAACCAACAATCAATGCGACGTAATCATGCTGTTTTCTCCACAACCTTTGTCACCTGCCCTTTCAGTTTATTCCAGGAGCAGGCGTCTCCTGTGGGTCAGCTGACACGCCGCCACTACTGCTGGCCGGTCTGTGGGGCAGGGCAAGAGCAAGGAAGATACAGGAAAGAAATGATAATCATTGTGATGTCATGAATGCATGAATTTTCCTAGTGCCAATATGTTCCAAAATTTTTTATCTAGAGTATATATCACGTACACTGATTAATTCGGGCGAATGCTGAGGTGTTCAAACTGAAGCCGCAGCTGCTTCTGGTGCATTCTCTACAACACATCTGACCCGTTGGATCACGAAGATTTGCCGCACGATGCCGTCGAGATCTGATCAGAATTGCCAAGCGTCTCCCCAATTTCCCCAATTCCCGCCGCCCGCAGCCATACCGTAGGATCAGCAGCCCCGCTTTCTGAACAGGCACCCCGCATAACCCCCAGATATCGGGATCGAGGGTGGTGTGTCAGGCTTTTTGGGGAGGCGCATCCGCAAGCCCGCGGAATTCCCAGAGCCCAGACCCAACCGTTGGGCCAACCGACATTCACCACTCTCGCGAATGTCCATCGTACCCGTATGCGAGAATGCCACGTCGTCGCCAGTGCTTGTCCTTTTCGCGAAACGAACTTCGTGCAGTGTTCTCCGCGATTTGCCCGTTGGCATCCACACTAGCGGGCACTATTGGCGCGAATGTTTTTGTCGGCGGTGGTCCCTCCGCAGTCCCCTTGCCCAACTCGGGATTGGTTGGGAAACTTCAGGCCTGGCTGAACCCTTCCTGTTGGGGCCCTGCGGAAACTGGGAGAAACCAGACCCACATCATTACCGAACCATGCGACATCCATCTCAACCGAAGTCAACATTCGAATTTCTCTCAATCTGGGACTCAAGATGGCGTGAGCAGCGTTCTCTGTTCTCCCTCAGCTCAACCTCATTCTTCATCCTCGCAACGCAAATTCATTTCTCCTCACCACCTCCTCATCCTGGTCTCATTAACGCCTCTTCGTATTCCTTCTTTGGCGTATGCCGTGAAGCAGTTCGCGTTTATTTCTGATCGCTGTCGTTCGCCTAGCAATCGTACAGCATCGTTTGCAACAATTCTCGGCGTTTGCAGCAATTATCGCCGTCAGCCGCGTTCTCCGCCGGTAGCAGAGAATTTCGCCATCAGCAGCGATTCCTGCCGACTAGCGATTAGCAGTAACGATTAGGCCGCTCTTACTCCGGCTTATGATCACCGACGGCAACAACGATGCTCGCAGGTAGCGGCGAATCGCGGTTAGCAGCGATCCTCACCATCAGCAGCAGTTTCTACGTTCAGCAGTTACGATCATCGCCAGCAACGATTTCTGCCGACTAGCGATTAGCATCGACGCCAACAAAGGAGTATCGACGTTAGCAGCAATTTCCGCCGTCAGCTGCAGTTTTTACCGTTCTCTCCGCCACCGGCAACATCGTTTCCGTTAGCTTAGATTTCCTCGTCGTCTGCAGTTTTCGCCGGCAGAAACGTCTCTCCTTGTCAGCATATTCGTGTTACTATTCTCAACAATAAAGCCGCTTGTCAGCGGAGTTTGCGATGGGAAACGAATCTCCTCCTCGTCAGCAGTTCTCACTGTCAGCTGCAGCGTTTTCTTGGTAACTGCAACGACTTTGGCGGTCGGAAGAGATGCTCGACCTTCCCAGCAATTTCGGCCGTCAACAGATATTTTGCAATCTGTTTACGGTTTGAAGCGGCTTGTTCCATCAGCAGCGACGAATTCGAGAGTCCCTTCTGCTGCGACCTCCATGAGCGCGGCTGAAAACCTCATCCAAGCTTGAAGCTCGTGACGCGGTTAAGCGGAATCGCGTGGCTAAGCGGAATCGCGTGCTAAGCGGAATCGCCGGCGTAGCTGTTGCTATGCGGAATGACAGGGAGGATCGCTTCCTCCTCGAATCGCGCTTTCCCTGCATCAGGTGCGCTGCTACTCGCAGAATCTTCACATTGACCACGTTAACTACTATTCGCCACGTTCTTAATCCAAATAAATTTCTAATTTAAGTTCGCGTGCAAATGTGCAGAAATCAATCAAACCGCCCCGAAGGCGAGTCAAATCCGCGGAGAAGTATTATGGCGTGGAGGCGAGTCCACAGAAGCGAGAAGCATGGCGCTCATCTCACCAGTCTGCGACGCCCAGCAGCACTCATTTCAAAGCTAAGTGCCACACAGAATGCCTGGAGATTCGGCTGCTTGATACACAGACTCCCTGAAACACAGACTTCTTGAACCGTTGACTGCTTGAACCGTTGCCTGCTTGAACCGTTGACTGCTTGAACCGTTGTTCGCTTGAACCGTTGACTGCTTGAACCGTTGTTCGCTTGAACCGTTGACTGCTTGACACACGGACTGCCCCCCCCGCCCTCCCCGCCCTGCCCTCCCTTGTCTTGCCTTTTGTTCCTGCCGCCTCGCACGCTGCACTGTCCATTCCCCATCTCACTCTCGCTCCCACCTCTCCCGCTGCCTTCACCTCGATCCTCACGGCGCTCCCCTCGCTGCCCTCCCCGCCCCGCCCTCCCTGCCTGCCAGGCGAGCGCAAGCCAGGAGGACGGAAGCAGGCGAGCAGCAGGCGAGGGGAGCACCAGGGCGGGCAGCAGGAGCGCGGGCAGCAGCGCCGGCCTCATCAACGGTTGAGGTTGCAGTATCGCCCCTGCCACCACACCCCACTCGAGCCCACTCCCCCTCAGGTTCAGGTTCAGGTGCAGGTTCAGGTGCAGGTGCAGGTGCAGGTTCAGGTTGGTAGCGGCTCTTGTGGGGTTGTGGTTGGCGTCACATGCACTGTCGTTTCTGCTGTTGCACGTGTGTTTGACACTTTTCTCCATTGCAACCCCTCTTACTTTCGGCTGCCTTTCCTTTCCGCCCTCCCTCCCCTCCCCTCCCTTCCCTGCCAGGCCTTCACAAGCCAGGGGGAGGGCAGCAGGCGAGCAGCAGGCGAGGGGAGCACCAGGGCGGGCAGCAGGAGCGCGGGCAGCGGGGCAGCAGCGCCGGCCTCATCAACGGTTGAGGTTGCAGTATCGCCCCTGCCACCACACCCCACTCGAGCCCACTCCCCCTCAGGTTCAGGTTCAGGTTCAGGTGCAGGTTCAGGTTGGTAGCGGCTCTTGTGGGGTTGTGGTTGGCGTCACATGCACTGTCGTTTCTGCTGTTGCACGTGTGTTTGACACTTTTCTCCATTGCAACCCCTCTTACTTTCGGCTGCCTTTCCTTTCCGCCCTCCCTCCCCTCCCCTCCCTTCCCTGCCAGGCCTTCACAAGCCAGGGGGAGGGCAGCAGGCGAGCAGCAGGCGAGGGGAGCACCAGGGCGGGCAGCAGGAGCGCGGGCAGCAAGGCAGCAGCGCCGGCCTCATCAACGGTTGAGGTTGCAGTATCGCCCCTGCCACCACACCCCACTCGAGCCCACTCCCCCTCAGGTTCAGGTTCAGGTTCAGGTTCAGGTGCAGGTTCAGGTTGGTAGCGGCTCTTGTGGGGTTGTGGTTGGCGTCACATGCACTGTCGTTTCTGCTGTTGCACGTGTGTTTGACACTTTTCTCCATTGCAACCCCTCTTACTTTCGGCTGCCTTTCCTTTCCGCCCTCCCTCCCCTCCCCTCCCCTCCCTTCCCTGCCAGGCCTTCACAAGCCAGAGGGAGGGCAGCAGGCGAGCAGCAGGCGAGGGGAGCACCAGGGCGGGCAGCAGGAGCGCGGGCAGCGGGGCAGCAGCGCCGGCCTCATCAACGGTTGAGGTTGCAGTATCGCCCCTGCCACCACACCCCACTCGAGCCCACTCCCCCTCAGGTTCAGGTTCAGGTTCAGGTGCAGGTTCAGGTTGGTAGCGGCTCTTGTGGGGTTGTGGTTGGCGTCACATGCACTGTCGTTTCTGCTGTTGCACGTGTGTTTGACACTTTTCTCCATTGCAACCCCTCTTACTTTCGGCTGCCTTTCCTTTCCGCCCTCCCTCCCCTCCCCTCCCCTCCCTTCCCTGCCAGGCCTTCACAAGCCAGAGGGAGGGCAGCAGGCGAGCAGCAGGCGAGGGGAGCACCAGGGCGGGCAGCAGGAGCGCGGGCAGCAGCGCCGGCCTCATCAACGGTTGAGGTTGCAGTATCGCCCCTGCCACCACACCCCACTCGAGCCCACTCCCCCTCAGGTTCAGGTTCAGGTTCAGGTTCAGGTTCAGGTGCAGGTTCAGGTT